CATTATTGGAAAAGGTGGTTTTATCCAGAACCCCGTCTAACACTTGATTAAAATCTCCAGCAATAACAGTATGCCCATCAGCTATGCTCCCCATTACTTTATTTATTTTATGAAAGAAACCTGGATCTTCCACATTTGGAGCATAAATGTTACACAAATTCACTTTCATTCCGTTAATTGTGGCTTCCAAACAAATCATTCTTCCATCCTCGTCCTTTTGCTGATTAATAATAATGAAATTCAAGTTCTTATGCACCAATATAGCCACTCCACGCTTTTTACTACTATATGAACTATGTTATATTTGACCCACCCAGTCCCTTTTCAAGTGAGTCTCTTGTAAAAAGGCTATATGTGCTTGTTGTGATTTTAGGTATCATAAACATTTCTTCCTCTTTATTGGATTTTGTAGCCGGTTTATATTCCAGGACACTATTCTTACTAGCCATCTGAACAGGTGACGTTTATATGCCTCAGATTGAGATGAAAGCTCCCATGGAGGGAGGAAGACAGTGAGTAATGAAAAACAAAAAAAAGTGCCGCTTAGCTGCCTGCCAAAAAAACAACTTATCAATAACACATAATACTCCTCGTATAGAACCCCTTCAGAACAAAAAACAACATACAAGGCTGCTCTCATTCATGAGAGACCCACCGCAAACCTGGTCCGTGAGGCACATTGAAGTGATCACCGACAATTGTTTTCTTAACAGTAGCAATACAATCATTTTGAATTCAATACAATTAGGGAAGTTGTTGGTTTATTTAGTATGTGGCTGTGTGATAAGAGGGATGATATGTATAGAGGCGGTCATTGTTCCCTTACATTTTTTACAAATGGACGCCATTTATCTGCAGGATAAGAACTCGTAATTTTGATACATTTTGCTGATGACAACACGAGACGCTTAATCACAACATGGTGGAAAATGCTGAAACCAGCTGTTGGAAGTGCTTCTATACAAGCACTGTACTGATGTTACCTTTGTGTTGGGCTATAAGTTTCTTTGCATTTTCAAAATCTCTTTACAAAAAGTGAAATTGAAGAGATTATGGATGATGTTGCTTTGCTATGGTGATGGAGGTTCTGTCTAAATGGAAGATAGTAAATTATACAAAGCAGAGCACCCAGTGCAGATCCCTGTGGGACACCCTAGGTGACTGAAACAGTGGGCAGTTTGGAAATTACAAATCTGAAGAAATAACACATATTTTAGTTTATTTATAATTATGACAAGAGGTTTATGTGATTTTTTTTTCTATCACGGCAAGGTGGGGATCTATGGAAAAATTAAGTTGATCTTATAAACTGCTGTTTGCCATGGTAGTGAACATGGAAATAATAGAGCAATCTGAATCCAACTGAACGGAAGGGGGGGGGGGATTAACAAGAGATTAGAATGGAGTTAACTAAAGTCTCATCATTTTCTTTGATGTCATATCATCCCACTCACCTCACCGCTCACATGTCTACATCCGTTAATGTGTCTTTATAGATGACATGACATGTGGAATCATATAACCTTCTGCCTGTGCCTAAATGCCTCATCTTCTGTTTATCGGAAATGTATTGTCAATGGCATTTTTCCACGAGGCAATAAAGTAACAAAAATAATAAAAAATAACTGGTGCAAATAGTTAAGTGTTTGTTTTGCAGCTGATCAGCCTGGGGGAATAAAGACCAGTCATGGGATATAAGGAGGATTAAGAGGAGGGGGTAGATGTTCATAAATACCCACGTGCACACAGGCACATGACCTTTCACTGATACACACACTGTGCACGTACAATACTAGAACGAGTGGCATTATAAACATACACTTCCACATTTTCACTCAAACACTAACAACTATATTTATTACTTTCAAATAACAGTTCTAAAGCAATAACAGTTAAAGAATGAGCTTTTATGAAATCTAGTTTTACTTCCTTTATAAATGTATTTATGTTTCAGATTTCAGAAGTTAAAACTCTAAGTGGTGGTTGATTGAGAATGCAGAACCTCTGTAGCGTTATGAAGAGGCATAATGACAGAAGAAAACCCATGTAATAAACTGAAAAAATTACATATAACAGAGATGTTGAATCAACATATACCTGACTTATTCAAATGACATACTGTCTTTTAAAACTGCTAAACATAGAAGTGTGATTGCACCTGTGAATTCATCAATACCAGGATGACTTGCTTGGCAAAGATACTGAACCCCACATTTTATCCAGATGGCCAAATTTGTGTGAGTGTGTGCAAATGTTAGTCTCCCTGAGCAGGTACGATACAATATGATACAGTACGGTAATACTTTATTGTAGATCAAGTCCAAATTTTAGTTTTGCATCACTGCAGCTCTATTTGTATAACATTACAATCAATATTTTCAAGACCCTTTAACATACATTTAAACTGGGATTTAATTTGAGAACAGACTGCTGCACTTAATACTTCTACAGTATAAATGTATTGAATTGCGGGTACCTGAATCTCCGAATCGAACAATTCATATTCACTGTTCAGGACATGGTTGGGTTCAGAGATAATGCTAATATATTGTCATGTTAGGATCATTTATACCAGTGGTCCCCAAACTAAGGCCCGCGGGCCGGGTACGGCCCACCTCCACATTTGGCCCGGCCCCCTGAACAATACCAGAGACGCATTATGATTTATTTTTTTATTTTTTTTGCCACCCGAATCCTAGACTAGCCCCTGTCAAAATGTTGTGACCTGCTCTATCGAAATCAGTCGCATTGACCCGAAGACACCTTTTGAGTTGTATACACTGTTGAAAAGAGGATATTCCTAGCTTTCTAATGATATCAGGATTGTTTTTGTACTTCAAATATTAAGCGAAATATGTCACATTATATAATGACTGTCACCGAGTCATCATTTTGAGAAAAAGGCCTTCAAAGTTGTCTCTTCTCTGGAATCCATCGATCTGATTGATTATTAGCGGAGCAAATGATCAAAATACTACCGAGGGAAGATATTTTCGTTTGGAGGGGAAGCTCGCGAGTGTGTGTATATACGTGTGCGTGTGAGTGTGTGTGCTTGTGTAATTTTGCGTTTGTGTGTATTGTGTTTGTTTCCCGGGGAAAACACTCACGAGAAACACCGGCTGTTGTTATGCCTGCTGTGACGTCAAGTTACTCCGTTCTCCGCTTGTAATTATGCCGAAGCTTCAAAGTTGTATTTATCATCTGAATTTGCCGAAACAAGTTTAATATTCTGAAAGCCAAGACTTTGTTTAATTGAAATCAGATGAAAACAAACTGTAACGGACCCTGCAGTGTTATCTATGATTACTATACTCTTACATTCATAATTTCAGCGGAGTGAGGGGGGGGGGGGGGGGGGGGGCGGCGCTGCGGAAGAGCAGATTGCGAGTGAGAAATAAATAGGAAATAAAAGTTTCATATTCTGAAAGCCAAGACTTTGTTTGTTTAAAATCAAACAAAACACCCGAACCCCGAAAAAATAGTTTTTTTTACGTAAATCCACGTTTATTTTGAGAGATTCTGCTCTGACAACTAAGCTAAACTTTTACCTGTTAAGATTGTGCACGGCACAACAGAAAGTTACAGTAATTTTCAATGGACTTTTTTCTGTGAAGAACCCAGAGAGGGTTATTTGGTTATTATTTATTTCATAAATAGTGTTATTTATTTCATAAATAGTGTTATTTATTTCATTAATAGTGTTATTATTTATTTCCTGACTTTTTTTCTGTGAAGATCCCGGAAAGGGTTATTAATATTTGGTTATGTGTGGCTTTCTAGAAAACAATACATGTTTACGTTTAGACACCCATGCGATCGTCACACTTTTTCTGTTACAAACTGACCCGGCCCCCATCAGAGAAGGGAAAAGTTATGTGGCCCTCACAGGAAAAAGTTTGGGGACCCCTGATTTATACAGTTTCTCAAAAGGTTGACCAAAAATCTTTGAGCAGATTTGACTTTGAAGTGGTGGACAAACTCTTATACCATGTAGTATTGCAATACTGTAGAACACTGAAAATCACAGATGTGAAAAAAAGATAAATGTGTCTACTGGCAACAAAAGACCGAAGGCAGCTGAGAAAATACATCTTTTGTTCTGTCCTTTACAGATATAGCAACACATTCCAGGATAGCAGATGGTTTATCATTACGCTTCAATATTTATATGGAAGGACCTGCTTGTTTTTTAAGTATGGTTATCCATAATGAATCAGATTGTGAGCCAAAAACTATTTCCTTCCACCTTATATTTTGCAGCCCCTGCTTCTGTATGAATGTGTATGAATGGGTGAATGCTGACTTGGGGTCGATAAGACTAGAAAAGCGCTTTATAAGTGCAGTTTGTTTACTATTTACCATGGAATACCTTGTTTTTTATGGAATAGATTATTTTTAAAACAACAACAGTTTGAATATTTTCCAAAGTTACTTCAGTGGAGCACTTAATGCCAATGTTTGAGTTGTATTATTCCCCTATTATTTCGAAGAACTGCACAACGCACACAATTTTCAACCTGGAAGAGTTTACATTGGTGCACACAGTGAGCAGCTGCTCTGCGCTCAGCAGCCTCCATGCTGGTGATTACACCGGCTGTGGAGTGTAGCCAGGGGTGGATGGAGGTATACGAGGAGGAAGGGGGATGGGACAGTAGCAGGCAGGGGAGGGAACAGACAGAGTGAGGACGGGTTCTGATGTAACGCAGTGTGTTTGTGCAGGGGGCGGGGCTTGTGTAAAGAGAGAGGCTCATGGGGATGGAGAGGATTGCCAGCCTCATGTTAATCTGCCTATCAGAAGTGCAGCAGCAGCAGCAGCAGCAGCAGATCTACGCTCTGCTTCCTCTCTGCCCATGCCCCCTTTTCTTCCTTCCTCCTCTTCTTCTTCTTATCTCAGCTCACTTTCTTTCTTCTCTTCTTCTGTAATGTCTCTCAGCCTTTCCTTACTCTGGTTCTGTCCCCCCTTCCTCCTTGGCTCTCTCTGTCACTTCTTGCTTTGGTAGTATTTGGAAGTCAGCGGGTCTTTCCCCTTATCTCTCTGGATGGTGGACATGAAATCCAGCAAAACTCCCAACAAGTCAGCAGGGTTTGCATGCCAGCCCAACAACGTGAGTTTGAAACCTCTACTGTGTGTGTGTGTGTGTGTGTGTGTGGTGTGTGTGTGTGTGTGTGTGTGTGTGTGTGTGTGTGTGTGTGTGTGTGTGTGTGTGTGTGTGTGTGTGTGTGTGTGTGTGTGTGTGTGTGTGTGTGTGTGTGTGTGTGCGCGTGTGTATGAGTGTGTGATAGAGCTTTTTGTTTGGCTCACAATGGTACCTCCATCTTCCGTAGTGCTCAGTCTTATAACCTTAGAAACTAACTCTTGTTCTTTTGTTTAAAGCATACCCCATGGTTATAGAGTGATGCAGGAATTAGTCCCATGTTTTTGTGTGGTTAGAAGCCTGAAATATGGTTATGGTTAACACAAACTGAATAGATTTTCCTTTTTTGTTGTACGACATAAAATATGTCAGTCAATACTTCACTGGTGAATGTCCGAAACTTCTATTTGTCATAAAAACTAAAGTTGCTTCACCTTGACACACCAAACATTAGCCGCATTTAGCTTAGCAGTGGTGATGGGCATCCATGCAATTGTGATGTAGTTTGTTTATTACCTAACGTTAGCTTTTTACTTCCAGCGATTGCATTAATGCTTTAAAATGCATGAAGTGGTGTTAATATGTGGAGATTAATCTGCTCAGTAAAATATGTAAGTATCATATTAGCCCTTGCGATGCTAACTTTATAGAAGGGAAATATAAATTCTACAGCAAAAAAAAGTTTAGGTGCGAGCTTTTCCTGTTTCAACACGACAATGCACAGAGCATGACCCACAGGGAGCATTTTCCATGAATTACAGTGCAAAAAGCGTGGTCATCAATCGATTACCCTGAATTTTAAACCAATTCAACTTGTTAAAGAGCTTTATCAATAAGCTGACGGTAATAGAGTGCTAAAAGGTTGATCTTTTGCCCTAAATTGTAGATGTAAAAGCGCTTTGAGGGGTCGCAAAGACTGCATAAGTACTAACACATTTTACGATGTACCATTCATACCAATAATTTGTGCCTCCACCAGCAGGGCCAGAGCAGCAGCCCAGAGACCCTGGACCTCAGCGACGAGACCACCGACACAGAGGACCATGAGGAGGAGGACCTGGGAGTTCTGGATGACCAGCGCAACATCATGCTTCACCTCTTGTCCCAGCTCAAACTGGGCATGGACCTCACACGGGTAAGACCCTGCCTTCATTACCTTTCATTAGGAGTCACTGCACAGGCTTTCTGACAGAGCTCCACTCTGATTTAGTGTCTGTGAGCAAGACAGTCAAACCAGAATAGTGCTGCTCGGCCATCGAAGAACAACCACAAAAAGCATTAGCTTGTTAAAAGTGAAAGAAATAAGTACAATTTAAAGTATTACAGAATGGATTATGCCCCTAATATACTGTAACTCACAAATGATAGTAGTCAGCATTTGTGAAACCTGTTTTTCTTTTGCTCTGTCCATTGTCAACATGTAAAGAAGCATCATTTACAGTGGGGGAAATAAGTATTTGATCCCCTGCTGATTTTGTAAGTTTACCCACTTTAAGTAATTAACAGCATGTCATTTTAATGGTAGGTTTATATAAACAGTGAAAGTAAGAATATCAAAAATAAAATCCAGAATGTACATTATATAAAAGATAAAAACTGATTTGCATTTAAATAAGTATTTGATCCCCTTGCAAAACATGTGTTAGTTGGTGGAGAAACCCTTGTTGGACACACAGAGGTCAGACGCTTCTTGTAGTTGGTCTCCAGGTTTGTGAACATCTCAGGAAGGATTCTGGTCCACTCCTCTCTGAAGATCCTCTCCAAATCCTGAAGGTTTTGAGGCTGATGCTTGGCATCTTGAAGCTTCAGCTCCCTCCACAGATTTGTTATGGGATTAAGGTCTGGAGACTGGCTAGGCCCCTCCATCACCTACTTGCTTCTTCTTTAGCCACTCCTGTGTTGCCTTTGCCTTAGGTTCAGGGTCATTGCCCTGCTGGAAGACCTGTCCATGACCCATTTTCAGTGTCTGAGGGAAGGAGGCTATCGGCCAAAATGTTACGTTGCATGGCCCCGTCCATCCTCTCCTCGATGCAGGGAAGTGGTCCTGTCCCCTTAGCAGAGAAACACCCCCAAAGCATAATGTTTCCACCTCCATGCTTGACGGTGGGGATGGTGTTCTGGAGGTTATAGTCAGCAACTCTCTTCTTCCAAACACAGCGGGTCGAGTTGATGCCAAAGATCTCGATTTTGGTCTCATCTGACCACATCATCTTCTCCCAAGCCTTCTCTGAATCATTCGGATGTTCATTGTCAAACTTCAGACGGGCCTTTCATGTTCTTCTTGAGCAGGGGGCCTTGTGGTGCTGCAGGATTTGATCTATTATGGTGCAGTGTATTACCAATAGTTTTCTTGGTGACTGTGGTCCCAGCTGCCTTGAGATCATTAACAAGTTCCTCCGTGTAGTTCTTGGCTGATCCCTCACCTTTCTCCTGATCATCAATACCCCACGGGGCGAGATCTTGTGTGGAGCCCCAGACTGAGAGCGATTGATGCTCATTGTGTGTTTCTTCCATTTAGAAACACACACATTATTCTTCTGAATAATGGCACCACCAGTTGTCTCCTTCTCCCCAAGCTGCTTTCTGATGGTCTTGTAGCCGATCCCAGCCTCGTGAAGGTCTTGTCCCTGAGGTCCTTAGACAGCTCTTTAGTCTTGCCCATGGTGGAGAGGTTGGAATCTGATTGATTGATTCGGTGGACAGGTGTCTTTTATTCAGGTAACAAAGTTGATATTAGGAGTACTTTTTTAAAGGAAGAGGACTTATTTCACCGGTCTGTGGGAGCCAGAATCTTTGTTTGTTGCAAGGGGATCAAATACTTATTTCCCACAGTTAAATGCAAATACATTTTTATCTTTTATATAATGTCAATTTCTGGATTTTATTTTTGATATTCTTACTCTCACTTAATATAAACCTACCATTACAATTATAGACTGTTAATTCATTTGTAAAATCTGCAGGGGATCAAATACTTATTTCCTCCACTGTCTTTGGAGGCAGCTCTAGATATGTTTTAGTAATCAGTCACTATCCCTATGTTATTGTTTACTATCAGTTTAATCTCAATAAGGATTTGGGGATTTGGAGATTAGGGTATTTGTCTGTTATTATCCGTGTGTGTGTCCAGGATTTCTCGATATAGCAAGGGGAGGATGTAGAGTATTTATAGCCCGGCTTGGGGAGTAACAGAGTACATGGAACAGGATTCATAATCAGGATACAAAAAACTGTATTCCCTTACAGTTACATAAAAAAGGGGTTATTAGCAGGATTACAATCTTACAATACATTTAAAAATAAAAAACGATATGTTATGAAACTCAGGATTACACATTATAATACTTTACGACTAATCTCCCAGTCCAAAACACACAAACAAAAAACATAGTAGTCGGTTTCTTCTCTCCTACAGTAGGTTACATGTTCTGTTGTCTTACATAATACTCTACATTTAAAGTGTTCTTATTGATATTTGTTTTCTTTTGTATTTAATTGGGTCGCATTGGATAGTGAGGTAATCCAAAATGAACGGAAAGTTATCATGTTACATTACTTTACAGTGTGAAACTTAAATGTTTTGTTCCTAGCGAACACACAGGAAGTCAGCCTATCACATGTTCCTAATGTACAGTATGAACTAGTGTCTCCTTATTTGGGCCGGGATGGTAAATAACACTCCCTCCTCTTTGCTTCCTCCACCCTCCTGGTTGTGGTTATGGATAGCAGTCAGACTCCTCTCATGTGATAGAGGCTTTACTCAAGGCCCAGTGCTCTGGATCACGGGGTGATGAGCTGACAATGTGCAACAGAAAGGGATTCTGACCTCAAATACCTGAGAGGCTGGGACTACACCATAACTCATGTAGGGGAGGATCCTTGTGATCCAACTCTGTGTTAGAACAACATCATTTATCCGCTTATGTAGACATAGGAAACGGTCTGCACATCTTTCCAATTATTCTCCAACCATTCGCTCTTGCCATGTCCATATTGACTGGTGCTGTGCCATGGGATCGACATTTGGGCTGCCCTCTGGCACGGCTCTGACAAAACACCCAATCTGAGCCTGAGCTGTCATCACTTGGACCGTCAGGTTGTGTGACAGGCCTGGCTTTATGTAATGAGGAATCCAATAGAGAGTCAATTATATTCAACCCCTTTACATGACATGAAACCATAGCTCAGTTTAGTTTAGTTTAGTTTAGAGGTCTTCAACAGGGGGTCCGCGGAGGTACTGCAGGGGGGTCGCGAAATCTTTGGTTGATTAGACAATTTTTTATATTTCTTAAAAAGAAAAAATGTCAAAACATTTTTTTCACACAAATTGAAATGTCTTTAAATGCACATTAACATGATTCCAACATATTGTAGCGAACGGAGAAATGGAGGAAGAAGACGTTATCTTTCAGTCAGCAATGCACGCATTCAGCTACACACAGTAGCTATCTCAAGCTAGGCGCCGGTTCACTCACAGCAGGAGACTACCCCGGACCTGTCCCACCAGGCCTCCTGTACACAAAGGGGAGGACCCGCCCCTATCGCTGCTGTGACAATCACGAGGCCGCATGACACACGCTGGCTCTGTCAGGTTCCCCGTGATTGGCCGAGAGCCTATTCAGTCCCCAGTTTACTAAGGACCCAGACACAAGGACGCACGCTGCGATATTATTGAGAAGACCATACCTTTATATATATATATATATATATATAAAAATGGATCGTTTTGTAACTCGACCAAAAAAATCCACAAGCACAAAAGAGATACCATCCACCTCAGAAACCACCAGTGAACATGCAAGTGGCGAGGCGGAACCTGCTGCTGATGTAGCAGCTAATAAGGGTAAGCGCAAACGAGAGAAGACCCAAAAATATGCATATGCCATCCACAGATGGTTTGAGGATTCAGTCCCTTCTACATGTAAGTTTAAAGTTAAAATCTGTGAATTAATTTAATAGCTCAGTGTTGTATGCAAGATGTATGTTTATAAATGGCAGTGGCACGGCCACCCTGTACCTTGCACATGTTTAAAATAAAAACATGAATATATTAACCTGTGTATTATTTGAATAGCTTAGTATTGAATGTACAATAACAGAGTAGCTATGTTTATACACGGCACTAGGCCCCGTTTAATATAAAACACAATTGTATGCCATACATATAGTAGGGGGTTCCCTGCTCCAGCTCTCCATCAGTTTGGGGGTCCCTGGCCTGAAAAACGTTGAAGACCCCTGGTTTAGTTAGTTAGTTAGTTAGTTAGTTAGTTAGTTAGTTAGTTAGTTAGTTAGTTAGTTAGTTAGTTAGTTAGTTAGTTACTGGCCTGGACGAAGCCTTTATGAACAACGTCATTAAATACCATCCACTCCTAAATACCATCTTTACTTGCAAAGTATGTGGTGTCTCTGCTAACATTAAGCATTAAGCTAACCAGTCAGAGCAGACTGGGCTTTTTGTTTCAGACTGAGGCAGTATGAAAACAATAAACCTGTAGATATGTCACAGTAGAGGCAACAAATACAAATATGAAGCTGAAAATGAGCAAAATAGGGCCTCTTATAAATTGTAAAATGCAATAACAGCTGCATTTTGCTGGAGCATTCCTGGAATAAAAAAGCCAAATGTTTGTAGATTTTCTGCAAATGAACAAAAATGAAAGCTGTTGTAGTTCTGACGGATATATTGTCCCGTCTAAAGGACTTACACTTCAAGCTTTTTAACATGAAACATACAGTGTCTGCAATTCTTGTCATAGTGAAGCTGATTGGACATTTCCAAACCTGCTTTAAGGACTTTAGCCTGGAAAAAACAGGCTACTCATTGAAAACCTATTTCTTGTCAGAAAGGTCTGATTGAGCTCTAAGAAAATGCTCCCTGTGACCCTGTGACTTTCTGTAAAAAGGCCCATGCTGATGTTGCAACATATCTCTGTGAATCAGCATTTTCAACAATAAACACTGCAGTCAAAAACTCACAGCAGACTGAACAATGCACATGAGAGCTCTGAGGGCTTGGGGACCCCAAGAAGGTGAATATGGCTCTGGAGTCATGGCAACATCAATATCATCATTCAATGCACGCTAACTCCATCAGGTCAGCAGTGTTGTGCTAGTTACTGAAAACCAGTAACTAGTTACCATTACTAGTTACTTCATTTCAAAAGTAACTCAGGTACTTTACTGATTACTTACACAAAAAGTAATGCGTTACTGTAAAACGTAACTTTTTAGTTACTTAAAAAAGGCCTCCCATTAATGCCCTTATAGCCTTCATTTCAGTACTGTTATTGCATTGGAGAATAATACAATTTGGATTGCATCGATATTAGCTGGCTTTCCATTTTTGTATATTCTTTCTCCAGGTAGTTGGAAAAAGTGTTGCGTCCCATATGCCGTGTGCCGCCCGGACATGCTATCATGCTAACTAGCTCCCTGAAAGCGGGTGACTCCACTGTAGCAATAGCCTGCATGTGTTCTACAACATACCGTGCAATGGCTTTATCGACTTTTCCCTGGCTAGCAGTCCCTTGGTTAAAATCCAGCCGCTGTTGCTTAGGTGGAGGTGGAGTGGCGTCGGCTGAGTCTCTGTGGTCTTAGCTACTAGCTTCGTCCCAGCATGTTGTTTTTGCAGATGTTTTAAGAGATTTGAATGACTGGTTTGGGCAGTAGATAGGATCTTTGACCCGCCAAGACACAACTTACATTTAACTAAAACGTTCTTTTCTTTGTGCTCGACAAAAGTGAAATAGTGAGAATATCTCCAGGTGGAGAAACTAGACTTGAGCTCCGCCGCCGCCATGATAGTCTTGTTAGTAAACAACACAAACACGCTCACAGCCCGTCTCCGCATGTGACACAGGAAGTATCTAAGTACATTTACTCAAGTACTGTACTTAAGTACAGTTCTCATCTCTGTTCGCCTGGCTGTTGACTATATAAAAAACGGAGTAACGCACTATGTAGTAACGGTAACTTAGTTATTGAATTTAAAAAGTAATGCGTTAGAGTAGTTACTGCCAAAAATAACGGCGTTGCAGTAACGCGTTACTGCCAACACTGCAGGTCAGCAACATGTTTTCAATAATAATACACATTCCTGTCCGCAAAATATATTGTTTAGTTGATTCGTTCCAATTCAAACCACCCCTTAACATGCAATGAAAAAAACTGAAGTACAAAGTATTCAGGGATTGCATTTGTTAGTTAACTGCAAGTTAGACAAAACTATTGTTTGGACAGGTGTCAAGACATTTTACCCAGACACGCAGAACTGTTAAACAGTCATGCATATATGTTGTTTGCAGTGACGTGCAGTGAGGTTCATGGCTGGTGAGGCAAATATTATATTTTGACCTTTATCGAAATATTCGGTTATTTTCAAAAGCTTTTTTAGTCTGATGCTTCAATTCATTTTAAACAGACCGTTCAACAAAAGGATAGGCCTATACCCACAATTTAAATATTGGATTGTTCTTTCTTATTAAGATCCCATGTTCATTACAATTGTGGTCTTACCTTGACTTGACTTGAAGTCCATGCTATCCTTCTGGACAACAATCTCTATTACTTTTTTGTAAAAGTCCTCCTTATCTTCCTGTAGTTTCAAAAGTCTAGTTTGTTGTTCGCGTCTGGTCTACCGTCCCTGCGTAGAATAACAGTAGCAACAAGAACCTGTGGGCTCACTTGCGCCCCCTTCAGTGCGGCAGAGGTTATGGCTGCCTCCCCTGGTGCTTTTTTCATTGTCGTTGTATGATGAGACCAGCGAGCCTAAATATCATATATACGTGAAATAAGTTATTTAGAGACTATGGATGGCGAGGATAAATGTAATAAAGGGATCTACAAACATTACATTGGTGACATACAGTGAGATGGTGCAGGCATGCGCTTAGGGCCCGCTTTCCAGCCAGTTTCTGTGGGGTGACGCATTTTGAGGAGAGGCAGATCTCATCTGTGCCTCACCTCACCCCACAGTAACTGGCTTGAGCGCGCTCACAAAATAAGTGCCTGCGCTAAATTAGTGCCCGCGCTCCAGCCAGTTGGGCTTACGTGAGGCAGAGCTCGTCCCTGCCTCACTTCTCATCGCTACCCGTAGTTGTAGCGGAGCTCGGCAAATTTGCTGATTTTGACTATAAAAAGCGATTGGAATCATACATAAATCACACTTACAACACAGATCAGTGGAGACATTTTATTATTATTACTATTTAGTTTTTCTTTAGTTGTTTTTCCGTTACATTGGAGTATGACAGGTGAGGCTCTGCCTCCTCTGCCTCCCCTGACTGCACGTCGCTGGTTGTTTGTTTTTTGTTAAGTCTGGCAAACATTGCTAGTAATCGAAATAAAATGTAAAATAATCTGAAATATTGCACTGCCTTGTAGTACTTGCAAAATGAAGTGTCCCTGAGATTACATTTTTAGCTGTGGCCAAGCCAACTTGAGTTTGAGACCCCTGGTATATATTTAAAAAATGGATTGATGGATGTTTTTAAGGTCAGACTAATCATATTATGGACCAGGTTTCTTTGACTTCTACTGGACACCCACTTTGTTCAATTGTGTTTCTTCTTCATATTAAACATAGGTAACTCCTATGTAGTATGTCTTAATAATAAGTTATACCTCCAACGTTATGCCTACAACTAAATATCTTATCAAGGTGGCATTGTGTTTCATCATGGTTTAGCTAATGCACATTGGTCTAAGAATCCAGCAGAAAGCGTGCACATAGTTCTGTGTGCACAGCGATCCAACAGTAGTTTTTACAGACATTCCTTCTTTCAGTTGTCATCTCTGTCTATCCCTCTTCAGGTGGTGCTCCCTACCTTCATCCTGGAGAAGCGTTCTCTGCTAGAAATGTACGCCAACTTCATGGCTCACCCTGACATGTTCCTGTCCATCACCTGCGGCTGCACAGCAGAGGAGCGCATGGTCCGCTTCGTGGAGTACTACCTGACCGCCTTCCACGAGGGCCGCAAGGGGGCCGTGGCCAAGAAGCCCTACAACCCCATCCTGGGCGAGAACTTCCACTGCTCCTGGTATGTGCCTCGGGTCCGCGTGCGACCCCTCAGGACGACCAACTGTCCCGGTCCCAACTCAGCACCCACAGACTCTTCGAGCATTCCCGGGTCCCCACAAAGGGGGGTGGGTGGCAGCAGCAGGAAACACTCAGACTGCTATCATGTTAGTTTTGTGGCAGAGCAGCTGTCCCACCACCCTCCTGTGTCAGGCTTCTACTGCGAGTGCAAGGAGAAGAAGATGTGTGTCAACACGCATGTCTGGACCAAGAGCAAGTTCATGGGCATGTCTGTCGGGGTCTCTATGGTCGGGGAAGGTAAGAGAACTAGAGCTTGATTGAAAATGGAATGTCTGCTTGATTGTCATAGTATTGCAATGAGTTGCACACGAACACAATGACCGCGCCTGAGTTTGAAAGGTTGTTTATTCATTTGTTTGGTATTGTCATGCACTGCGCAGTGCATAACGCTAAAGTGTTAGTACAGGCTAACTATGGAGTCTTATACAGATCACATTATGCAAGGTTAGCTAATTGTGTTTTGGTGAAATGTACTGTAGGTCTTCAGCTTTTGATGTCAGATGACATTGTTTGAGGTTTTCATCTACAGAAACTCTCAGCAACTTCTTTAATGTTGGGTGAAATAAATGAATGTGAATGCCAAACACCAGTAGACACATAAAGAGATGCAGTGATGACATATTTCTGTAGGCAAACCTGGAAGTCAGCATCGCAAAGGCTCCCTCGACAAAAGTTTTTTTCTTCCTCCATTGGACTTTCTTTAGAATATTGAAAAGAAGCGCTGTGGCTAACACGTGTTTATGATACCTACATGTTTTGATCAGCAGGATAATCTCCACGTATAAACTTAAAGCATAAATGCAATTGCAAGAAGTAACTTCATTTCTACGATTCTTTGCTAACTAAGTGGTAAAATGCTAACTAATTTCCAGGTTTTCGGACTCATTCCTGCACAATTCTTTTTAATCATTGTCAAATAAGGTAATGTTGTTTTAGAAACATGTCAGAGCGATGGGATGGTGTCAGATGGACAAATGGCTGGCCATAATCAGACATCCACAGCTGTTTGTAGACTCAGAGCCTCGTCCTTCAGCTCAGTGAATCCCTACAGCAGCACTCACATTCCATCTGCAGCCTCTAATTGGACAAATGTTGTTCCAAAACAGAATGCCATATGCATGTGTTTATTCCATATGTAGTTATCTGGATCAGATCTTACACAACCAAGAGCAGGCTGATTGAAACAACAACAGAACAGTAGAACGGGATGAGAGTATTGAAGGGGGACATACTGCAAATGAATTGGACACCCAAAGTCAGGGTGCCAAATATTTCTTATGTTATCAATTCCATTGGAAGCACTGTTGTGTGTGTGTGTGTGTGTGTGTGTGTGTGTGTGTGTGTGTGTGTGTGTGTGTGTGTGTGTGTGTGTGTGTGTGTGTGTGTGTGTGTGTGTGTGTGTGTGTGTGTGTGTGTGTGTGTGTGTGTGTGTGTGTGTGTGTGTGTGTGTGTGTGTGTGTGTGTGTGTGTGTGTGTGTGTGTGTGTGTGTGTGTGTGTGTGTGTGTGTGTGTGTGTGTGTGTGTGTGTGCGTGCGTGCGTGCGTGCGTGTGTGTGTGTGTGTGTGTGTGTGATCGTGATCTGACATGTAGTTTCGAGCAGTAATAATTCACTTTTATTTGATTGTTTAGCTTCATTTTGCAGACATCACTGTTGAATTACTTCTCTTAACCATATTGTTTTAATTTGCAAAAGTTTGATCATTTGGAATTCAGAGATACATGTTCCATGTTTATGCAGGGCAAAGTTGGCTTGGAGTCAAGTTGGCTTGACTCTTATGGAAGTTTACATTACTTTATTATCTTAGAATTAAGGAACAATGTTACATTAAAATGTGGGGCGACTTTGACTAAGGAGGTAGATTTGGTGGTTCAGTCCCCAGCCCCTGCAATTAGCATATCTGTGTATCCTCGGTTAAAAACGTCTCGTTATCCCAGAGTTCTGTGTGGGTGTGTGAATGTTAGTCTCCCTGAGCTGGTGGTGGGCATTTAACAATGCTAAGGTTATGTTTCTGCCATTATTTAGGACAGGTGATAGTGCCTCAACGCAGCTTTTAGTGCACATATCTAAATGAGTTTAACTACATTATGACGTGCGATGGTGGAAGTCTGCAAGTGTGGATCATAACCAGTGTTCGAATTACCCATTTGCTTTCGGGGGAGCCCTATTTATTTATTTTTTTGGCAATCATATAGGCAGACCTGAAAGATGTATATGTTTCCTGCATTAGATCAATATTGATTGCCAATAGTCCTACCTTGTTTGGTAGGACATCTTTTTTCTCATCTCCGAAATCTCGATCGCTTTTTCGTGTGCCTGGCTCTTAGTGCTAATAAATACTACAATCACATAAAAACACATTACTACAATCACAATAAAAGACAATACATTACAATAGATATATAAAAAACACAGGGAAAAGTCAGGAGTCCTGCTCCGCTCTGACTAAAAGGTCAGGGAGAGCACTGGAGCCTCAACATGTGGAGGAACATTATGTGAATCCATTCTTGTGAAAGGTGCACAAAGGTGGATTTTTTTGCGAGCGGCAGGGAGATCAAAATACTTGTTGCCTCTTTGCAAATCTCACATCCACATTTTTTTTTTTTTTTTAAAAGCCAAAGATAACTTTCATTCCACTCACTCCATATTTTTTGTGTCCAGTTAAAAGGCAGGTCATGGGCATCGTCAGGTTCGCTAGCGCAGGTGGCGCCGACGGCTGTGGCCGTTGTTGAAGCCTCTTCACGCTCCGCATAGGCAGGCCTCTCCCTCGGTGTGGAGCTGTCAAACTCGACCCTAACCGCTTACAGCCGGCCAACTAAAACTAGTTGTCATTTTTAGACTCCTTCGCTTCTTTGCTTGTGAATCCAAAAGCTGCGGGGCTTGGCTGTTTTCGTTTCGCCATATTTTTTATTACAAAGCCAGAGTTAAAAAAAATATCAGTATGAAAATATCAAATACCGCGCCAGCATCGTCTGCCGTAACCATAGCAACGTAAGTAGCGTAAAGAATGCAGCGCCGCCACGTACAGATGGCAACACCCAGAAATATTCACAAATATAAAACAAATATTCAGAAACTGTAATGAACAATGACTATTATTTATTTCAAGAATTTATTTACAGAAACTCAACATTTCTAATCTGTGTGACACAAATATACACGATTATTTTGGGCTCCCCCTATTTATTTCAAAGTCGGCCTTCAGGGGAGCTCCCTCCCTCTTCGGGGGAGCCAAGCTCCCCCTGGCTCCCCCCCATTTCGAACACTGATCATAACAAGTTTTTACCATGTTAACATGTAGTTGTGTAACTGAATTGTGAAATGCAGTGTTATATCATATGGCCTGCTTTTAAATCATTAAGTCAGTAGTGGACCGGTTGACGTGTCATTTGTCTTTGGACTACCATTTACTTTTAGTTAAAGTTGTTCAAGTTTGACCTGCCTCCTGTGAGCACCTTGGGTCTTCACTCAAGGAAGGTTATGTAACACAAGTCAGATTTAAGATATACGTGCAGACTAAGTGGCCAAGGAACTTGAGACATTGACTTAATGGCCATTTGGGGTTCTATACTACAAGATCAGAGATAAACTCTCAGTAAGGAATAAATGCATTCCCCGAGGGTTAGTGCATACATCTCCCTCTGGCATAAACAGACACCTTAGCCTCTCGTGTTAATTCCTTAAATGCTACTGAGCTGGGCATGTGGTATGTGGTACAGCCCAGATAGCAGCACTACATCAGTGTTTCTCAAACTTTTTCATACCAAGGACCACTTAACCAATAAAAAAACACTCGCGGACCACCTAACTCCACAAATATAAAAAAACACAACGTTTTTCTAGAACAGATTACAAATCGCATGAAAATGGTACAAACAAGTGGCAACATGTGTGATGAAGGTGTTGCGCTGGGCTATTTCATGCTATCGAAAGTGAAACTTAACCTTGCTCCATTGCGGAGATATTCCCGTGAGGGTGCGGAAAACTTAAATATATTTATTTATTTCAAATATGAAATGTTACCAATATACTCACGGACCACTAGGGGGCGCTCATGGACCACCAGTGGTCCGTGGACCACACTTTGAGAAGCACTGCACTACATGAAGCATTCCAATGATTACACTGAGGAAACATTATCATGCCCCTAAGGCATGCCCTCGATTCACCCCCTGAGCAACAGTGAGGCCCAAACTCTGTCTTACTGCTGATGGAAGGAGTTGGCCCTCAACAAGGCCTCTGTTAAATGCAGGCCCCAGAGGCACAAGGATAATATTTTGCAATGAAATGTACCGTGGCACGATAACAAAGTAACCCAGTTTCTAATGTACACTTATTCATGATATTACAGCTTCCTGCTATCATCTGTCAGCTTCCTGTGCAGCAGTGAACAGCACGACTGACTGAATGCAGCATGTGGGTCATTGTTTCACACATGCACACACACACACACACACACACACACACACACACACACACACACACACACACACACACACACACACACACACACACACACACACACACACACACACACACACACACCACACACACACACACACACACACACACACACACACGCCTGCACACAATAGAGTGAACCCATATGGGGAACAAATCTATGAAACACACACATGGTGAATTCTTAAACACAGAACTATAAATAAAAGAACGAGCAAGAATTGAAAGAGAAATACCTAACACAGAAGGTAAGGCAATTTGTGTTTGGTAGATGATTTCTATGTTGTAACAATGCTTCTTGCCAATACATCTTATGCCATTGGAAAGCCTGTTTTCTTACCCTTCAAATGGTGCCACATGTGTGATGAACATGCATTTGTGGGATGAACAGCAGAGCTGAGTATGTGGGGTGCGCCCATGAAAAATATGACAAATCTCCTCTGCCAATGCCAAACAGCTTTTTGCTGCTGACTCTAGTTTGGTATTGTTTGGTGGATTGGATGATTGAAGTCTGATAAATAAAGACATATTGGTAACAATTTATTTATTAACAATTGATTCATTTAACAAGCAGCCTCAGTAGCGTGTGGAAGAGCCAAACACAGCCACAACAGCCTCTCCTCCTCATGCTGTCACCAGCCTGCTCACACCCTGCTGTGGGATGGCTTCCCATTCTTCAACCAGCATCTGTCCCAAGTCAGCCAACATGGTTGTGTTGATCCCTCTGACATGGACAGCAGGGCCAAGTTGATCCCAAAATGGGGTTTCATGGGGTTGAGGTCAGGACTGCAGGTCATCCCATCTTCTCCTCTCCTACTCTATCGGTGCAGCAATCAGCAAAGCCTTCTCTGCGTCTTCTCCACAACGTGACCCTACCATCCATGTGCTGTAGGCAGAATCTGGACTCATCGCTGAACATAATGTTCCTCCTCATGTTGAGGTTCCAGTGCTCTGAACATAATGTTCCTCCACGTGTTGAGGTTCCAGTGCTCTGAACATAATGTTCCTCCACATGTTGAGGTTCCAGTGCTCTGAACATAATGTTCCTCCACGTGTTGAGGTTCCAGTGCTCTGAACATAATGTTCCTCCACATGTTGAGGTTCCAGTGCTCTGAACATAACGTTCCTCCACGTGTTGAGGTTCCAGTGCTCTGAACATAATGTTCCTCCACATGTTGAGGTTCCAGTGCTCTGAACATAATGTTCCTCCACGTGTTGAGGTTCCAGTGCTCTGAACATAATGTTCCTCCACATGTTGAGGTTCCAGTGCTCTGAACATAATGTTCCTCCACGTGTTGAGGTTCCAGTGCTCTGAACATAACATTCCTCCACATGTTGAGGTTCCAGTGCTCTGAACATAACATTCCTCCACATGTTGAGGCTCCAGTGCTCTGAACATAACGTTCCTCCACGTGTTGAGGTTCCAGTGCTCTGAACATAATGTTCCTCCACATGTTGAGGTTCCAGTGCTCTGAACATAATGTTCCTCCACATGTTGAGGTTCCAGTGCTCTGAACATAATGTTCCTCCACATGTTGAGGCTCCAGTGCTCTGAACATAATGTTCCTCCACATGTTGAGGTTCCAGTGCTCTGAACATAATGTTCCTCCACATGTTGAGGTTCCAGTGCTCTGAACATAATGTTCCTCCACGTGTTGAGGTTCCAGTGCTCTGAACATAATGTTCCTCCACGTGTTGAGGTTCCAGTGCTCTGAACATAATGTTCCTCCACGTGTTGAGGCTCCAGTGCTCTGAACATAATGTTCCTCCACGTGTTGAGGTTCCAGTGCTCTGAACATAATGTTCCTCCACATGTTGAGGCTCCAGTGCTCTGAACATAATGTTCCTCCACGTGTTGAGGTTCCAGTGCTCTGAACATAATGTTCCTCCACGTGTTGAGGCTCCAGTGCTCTGAACATAATGTTCCTCCACGTGTTGAGGTTCCAGTGCTCTGAACATAATGTTCCTCCACATGTTGAGGCTCCAGTGCTCTGAACATAATGTTCCTCCACGTGTTGAGGCTCCAGTGCTCTGAACATAATGTTCCTCCACATGTTGAGGTTCCAGTGCTCTGAACATAATGTTCCTCCACATGTTGAGGTTCCAGTGCTTTGAACATAATGTTCCTCCACATGTTGAGGCTCCAGTGCTCTGAACATAATGTTCCTCCACGTGTTGAGGCTCCAGTGCTCTGAACATAATGTTCCTCCACATGTTGAGGTTCCAGTGCTCTGAACATAATGTTCCTCCACATGTTGAGGTTCCAGTGCTTTGAACATAATGTTCCTCCACATGTTGAGGCTCCAGTGCTCTGAACATAATGTTCCTCCACATGTTGAGGCTCCAGTGCTCTGAACATAATGTTCCTCCACATGTTGAGGTTCCAGTGCTCTGAACATAATGTTCCTCCACATGTTGAGGTTCCAGTGCTCTGAACATAATGTTCCTCCACATGTTGAGGTTCCAGTGCTCTGAACATAATGTTCCTCCACGTGTTGAGGTTCCAGTGCTCTGAACATAATGTTCCTCCACATGTTGAGGCTCCTAGCAACCGTACGAGACCCGAGATTGGCTGCTGTTTGGCATTGGCAGAGGAGATTTCACATCTAAAGGAAACATAAATACCTAAAAAAGAAATGCAATTAGAATAGGAACATTTTTTAAGAAATACATGAGAAAATATGGACAGTATATCTGGATTAAAAAGTGGTAGTAATAATAATAATAGATTTATCCTGTAAGCGCTTTTACAGGTGCTCAAAGTCGCTTTACAGAGACAGTGAACAGAAAATAACAAATCAAGCAATATAACAACAATCACACATTAAAAGCCAGATTGAACAGGTGAGTTTTGGTGAGTGCTTTGAAGGTGGTGAGGTCAGTGGAGTCTCTGATGGGTTGTGGGAGTGAGTTCCAGAGGGAGGGAGCAGACACGAAGAAGACTTTGTCCCCCCAGGTTCGGTGCTTGATGCGGGTGGGGAGGGATAGGAAGTAATGTGCAAAATTGTCAGTTAAACCATTATAGGTAATGCCATTGTTCAGTATGAGGTTTTTTAGATGAGGAACAGTGTGTGTACAGTATGTTTGTGCGTGTTATTGTGAAAACAGATGTGTTGTGTACGACCTGGGTCCAGGGCAGCAGACTGGGCACAGGACAGCTGTCTGTTATATAAGCAGCGCGGGGGGGTTGGACGTGTGCCCAGGAGGCAGACTGACAGAATACTTCAGACCTTTTTACAATGCATGGCTCAGACTACAGACAGGAGAATAAATCCAATGTACAATGGGGCTAACCACTGTCAGTAGGAGTTCCTCTGGGCTCCATGAATGTCTGAAGGAAATGACATGGCTATCCATTCAGAGGCTGCTGAGATGCTACAGCTGTGTTTATGTGTGTGGAGATTGAAACATGTTCAGTGTCTTCTCTAATGCAGGCACCACAGGGATCAAATTAATAAACTGACATATGCTATGCTAACAAATGCCAAGAATATAGCACAAACCCCCACTTCTGCTAGAAACAGAGCATCAGACCTGGAAGAAGACCTAAAACTGGTACTAATTTAAACAAACTAACCAAGAAGGCTTTATTTCTGCATTCAGTCTGAAAATGTCACTTTGTCCAAATAAGGGAAGACTACAAGTAAAAAAAGAAGCAGAGGCCACCAGAACAAGGAGTAAACAATGCACCTGAGGAAACACCTGAAAGTGTTGTGGTGCTCACTGAAATCCTCAAGAAATTAGAGAATTTCGATTTGACAAAAGTGCTTATCACCAGTCTGCATATTCAGAAGCGGTTGGAAGATAAATGTGAAGATCTTGAAAGACATGCTCGACAGAATAATAAAAAAGATATACTCAATGCCTGTAAAATGAGGGCAAAAACACGTCTGATTTTGTGAAAAAACTGTTTGGAGAGAAACTGCATATCTATGAGGATATCACCACTGAGTGAGCACTGGGCAGCCGCTTTTATTGGACAAAGGAGCGGCCCAGGTCAATAATTGTTGCTATTAGATTATTGTGCTGACCCTGATTGTTTTATTTTTTATGTTACTGTAGAAGTGTGTTAAGCTTCTGGCAGCTGTGAATACAGACCATGTCTTTTTGAGACAGGAGCAGATAGTTGCTCCTTGACATCATGGGCTATAAACTGCTCTAAGTGTGTTGTGTGAATTATGAACCATGAGTGGAACAAATGAATGAATGGATGATAGGATGGATATAGTATGAACAACATACACATTGGAGCTACATGGACCGCTGTACGTTTTTTTTTTGTTGGATAAACAAGCTTTAATATGATGGTTTTGATAGCAAAAGAAAATGTATGCTATGCCATGTCCTGCTATATCCTCTTCTGTCTGTCGCTCAGGGTTGACCACGAGACTCACACACACACACACACACCTGCGTTTATTCTGACGCTCCGTTATGCTACGACTCTCTCACATTCACACACATTACGTTTATTTTCTTCACATTGACAATAATAACACTGCTTTCTCCAGGGAGGGACAAAGTCCTGGATGGGCGCCGGGTCTGTGCAGGATGAATACATCCAGATCTTTGAGTTCTAACGGAGCAGTCCTTAGTGATGCCTCATTTCAGTGAAGATCCTTCTGTCTGCTGAGCTGTGAAATGTGTCCTGTTTCTCCCAGGTGTGCTGTATTTGCTGGAGCATGATGAGCAGTACGTGTTCACTCTGCCCTGTGCCTACGCCCGCTCCATCCTGACTGTGCCATGGGTGGAACTCGGGGGAAAGGTCAACATCAACTGTGCCAAAAGTGGATACTCTGCCACTGTCACTTTCCACACAAAGCCCTTCTACGGAGGAAAAGTACACAGGTAGGCAAAGAAAGCTAATATCCCATGTGTCTATTGGCTCTATTTTTGTAACAGGACAGAGAAATGCAGATTTGTGCCGAAAAAACCCCCACAAATGTAACACTTTCTCCTCCCACCTCAGCAAAAATACAACAGTTTGGAGCCAATAAATCTACAAGTATAGGCTCAAAATATAGAATAGCAGCAAATTGACAATGTTTGAAAATGGAAGACGCACTCAGATCCTTTTTATGGACCGAAAAAACTCCATAACAAGTAAAAATCCTGAATTCAAAATGTTACTTAAAGGGGACCTATCATGCAAAATGCACTTTTTGATGTATTTTATACATTACTATGTTTCCCCGGTGTGTCAGGGAACTCACAAAGTGTCAGAAAACAAAACCCTCTCTCTTTTCCTCCGTACTCAAATCTCTAAAAACCGGGGTACAACGGAGCTGATCCAGATTTGCGTCTGATATGACGTAATTCAAATCATATCTATCAGCATACAGTAGCTATCAGAAACAATGCCTTATGTATTTTGTACGGAGCCCTCTAGGGGACATAGAGAAGAAAAAAAACAACTTTTAATTTAGCTCAATGTATTTCTGGGTCAATTCGGCAACACAGAAACCACAACAATGGAGCGGTTCATCGATTTTTACTTTGAGCTTGGCCTAAAATATAAAGATATAACATCAGTGCTTGGCAATAGGCACGGGTTTCACACAAGTGAAAGACACCCCAAGAGAACACTCAGAGCGAGGTGACATGCACGTCGCAAAGCATACTCTGAGCTTATTGACAGATTTGAATTTCGCGGATCAACAACATGACGTTACAATCATAGCAAGGTAGACAATGAGCTACAGGATTGTTTTTAACAGAACAGTTTGATACGCGCCGTCATCCGAGCTAAACATCAATAATTGGTCACAATCTGCAGCTGGAGGAGAGAGTGCTTAGGGACCGTCTACAACCTGCAACGCCGAAAATATATACTCATAGAAAAATTCAATAACTTAATTTTTTTAAGATGTAGTGCTACCAAAATCTCTTAACACATCAATGGTTATGTTTTTGTTACAGTATAACACTTATTTTGAATAAATATGCTTTAAAATATTGTTCAGGATTTTTTATTTCAAACTATTTTAAATTACTTTGATATTTTACAATGTACTGCAACCAAACCACTTTCACACATCAATAGTACATTGCTGCTCATACTACATCAGGGTTGTCCAAACTGCGGCCCGGGGGCCAAATTGTACTTCTTAAATATATATGTATACGTGTTAATAAGCCCACATTTTCTAACAAATCAAACAAAGAAAAAAACAGGTTACATCACAGCTCTCCATAGGGTTTCATTTATTTTGTTGGCAGCTCATTCCTTAAAACAGAAGCTTCAGATTGCTTATAATAAGAGGAAATATGAAATATATGTTATGTAAATAAGTTATTGAGCTTTTTTCTTATCAACTTAGATTTGTTAGAAAATGTGGCCTTATTAACATATATGTTTAAGAAGTACAATATAAGACATGCACAAGTTTAATTTGTGGGCCATATTTAATTATACTTTTTAAATTAGCTGAGGGCCGATTCAAAATGGCCCCCGGGCCGCAGTTTGGAAAACCCTGATGTAGTATGAGCAGCAATGTACTATTGATGTGTGAAAGGAGATTTGGTTGCAGTACATTGTAAAATGTCAAAGTAATTTAAAATAGTTTGAAATAAAAAAGCCTGAAAACATATTTATTCAAACTAAGTGTTATACTGTAACAACAACATAACCATTGATGTGTTAAGAGATTTTGGTAGCACTACATCTTAAAAAAATGAAGTTATTGAATTTTTCTATGAGTATATATTTTTTGGCATTGCAGTTTGGTCCTTAAGCACTCTTCTCTCCTCCAGCTGCAGATTGTGACCAATTCTTGATGTTTAGCTCGGATGACGGGGCGTATCGAACTGTTCTGATAAAAACGACCCTGTAGCTCATTGTCTACCTTGCTATGATTATAAAGTCATGTTGTTTGTATTTTTACAACGTCATGTTCATGAGTTATTGATAGGGTTGCAAAGGGGCGGAACATTTCTGGTAAATTTCCTGAAAGTTTCCATGGGAAGTTAAGCTGGGGAATTTTGTAAATATTCGATGCAAAATTAAACAAAAAACATGACATTTCAACAGATTTTTTTTTTTTTTCTTTAAGTAGAACAGAACCAGTTTTAATTATTTTATTGAACAATTATTTGTTTAATTGATGAACGAAAACAGGAATGTTGAGTTAAATATTACTCATCCCCCCCAACCCCACTCATTAAAAAATGAACAAAAATGCACCCCCCATCCAAAAATCCCCACAAAGTCCCATTCAAAATGTTAAAAGAGCCCTTCTCCCTCCAAAAAGTCCCATTAAGCTTAAATCTTCCTTCAAGCGATCCTCTGCATTTTTGCTAAACCCTTTCAGTCAATGGGCTCTTCCTGGGCCTCATCAACATCACACTCTGAGTCATCCTCTTCAGTGTCACTGTCCAGCCTTGTTGAGGATGGCTCTGTGTCAGGCTCAAAGAGCCTTAGGTTTGCCCGAATGCCAACCAGTTGTTCCACTCTCACATTTGTGAGCCTGTTGCAAACCTTTGTGTGGTATCAATAGCCATGCAGTAAGCAGTGTGCTATGGCATGGATATTCAAGTGTACTTGAATGGCATCTGTTTGTTTTAGTCAAGATTATGCTAAAATATACTTTCCCCAACTATATTTAAGTTCCCTATGAAGAGTCAACCTTCAATTTAGAAAATTCCCAGTTGATTCCCATAAATTCCCATTTATACCCGTTAATTCCCATGGAAAGTTTCCATCTTTGAAAATTCCCGGAATTTTGCAACCCTAGTTATTGATCCGCGAAATTCGAATCTGTCAATAACTCTTGAGGTGTCTTTCACTTATGTGAAACACGTGCCTATTGCCAGCCAGCACTGATGTTATATCTTTATATTTTAGGCCAAGCTCAAAGTAAAAATCGATGAACCGCTCCATTGTTGTGGTTTCTGTGTTGCCGAACTGACCCGGAAATACATTGAGCTAAATTAAAAGTTTTGCGAAATCTCGCAAAGGGGTTTTGCGAAATCTCGCAAAGGGGTTTTGCGAAATCTCACAAAAGCCTTTCGAGACCTTGGCGAGATCTCGCAAAACGTATATTTTCCCCTAAGGGGGTTCCATAGTTTTGGACGATATATGGTCTTTGTTTACATTAGCAAGCATCGCTAACACTCAGAGCTAACCTGTACTGGCGAGAGTATGTGTAAAAAATCAGGAAATAAAAAAAGAAACTCACCTTGTTGTAAACCCGCAAGAGAAAAAGCATTTGAGCTCCATACTGTTTCAGAAATAATGCTTGATGTGGTTTGGAGCTTGATGGTGTTTAATCACGGCAGAATTTAATTGTATCTGCCAGTAGAATTCTGAGCTCCCAAGCTAAGGACCCAAAATCAGCGTTTTTCTAACAGGGCTGGAGTAGAGGGATATGAGGGATTTCTAAAATGCATGATCTGTTTGGTATTTTGAGCAAAACACATCATAGACATGTTTTTATATATTTTTACATCTAATCTGAGACCCATAATATATGCCTAAAAATAGCACAATAGGAGACCTTTAAGTAGAAATACAGAAGTATTTTTAGCCTAATTCATTTTTCCAGCATTAAGATTGACTTACTGGTACCCCAGCGGCAATTTTAGTTTAAGTGAAGTTTCTATTTTAATCCTTTGCTTAGCCGTTACAGTAACAAAACATGCTCTGGTGCGCCAATCCCACCAACACCTGTGAGTGTGAATCTCTACGCCTACTGCCTGAATCTGCTTTATGGTTTTCACTTTCTTTTTGTTCTGTTTTTAATTCAGTAGGTGAACCTATATGTTCATAAAATAGTGTGTGTGAGCTGAACTGTGTTAAACTAAAACGGAGCATTTCCATTTGTCAGCTCAGATTTTATTTCTGTAGTATGTGCTCATGTGTTTCATTGTTGGTGTATTAGGCTACTGCCTGAATAGGCTTCATGAAACTAGTAATTGTAACTAAATGAATGTTTAAATGAACCCTTCTCACACTGTGAATGCTCCTGTTGATTTCCCACAGAGTGACAGCAGAGGTGAAGCACAACCAAACTGGAAACATAGTGTGTAAGGCGCAGGGGGAGTGGAACGGGGTGCTGGAGTTCACCTACAGCAACGGGGAGAACAAGGTGATAGACACCTCCAAGCATCCAATCATCAAGAAGAAGATCCAGCCTATAGAGAAGCAGGGCCAGTACGAGTCCCGGTGAGTTTCTTTTTATTACAGCATCATCATCATCGTCATCATTATAGTGGAGCGGCTAAACAGCCTAAATTAAAATGAGAAATAAAAAATATGTTATCAGTGTTCTCTTATTATTTTTGCACTCTAATGTAGGACTTCACTTGAACTGACTTTGCTTTTTTAAAACTTGTTATTTATTTTTAATATATTGCTGTTAATCGATTCTTTATTGACCCAAGACAAATATTTGGGAAATACTGTTTACATTAATGTTATACTTTTGCAAGCTAAATTCTCCCTGTTTCCAAGGCATAATCATGAAGATTTGTCTTGTTCTGTTTCTTTGTCACTAGGCGTCTTTGGCAGCATGTAACAGCGTCGCTGAAGGGAGGACATTTGGACGCAGCCACAGACCACAAACGCTGCCTGGAGGACAGGCAGCGCCGCGAGGCCAAACAGAGAGCTGCGTCCCACAGCCCCTGGAAACCCAAATACTTCATTAAAGAGGTGAGGGGGAACAGATATCCATATGTCAATTGAAGGGACCAGTTTTAGGGTCTTTGTCTTCACAAGTTGATGTTCTGAATTGCCTGTTTAGGAACTCTGCCCAATCAGAGTGGTGCACTGATGCTTTTTTTTTTTGTGTGGAACAACACGTGAAAATCTTTTAAGCTTGTGCTAACTAAAACACTTTATTTCAGGATTCTAACCACAAACATGTACAAAAAAACATTGTTTTCTAAAAGATAGAACCAGAAGTGGTGACATGCTAAGTAATTTCCAGGTTTAAGACTCATTCCTGTACCACTTTATTAAGTACAGCCATCTTTATTGATTTAAAGGCTAAGAACGAAGTCAATCTCCCAATGTGCGCATTGTAATTCCTATTTCTCTGATTGTGATGGAGGAAGACTTCTAAAGCACTTAGACATACTCACAAGGAATGCAGGCCTGTGTGGGGCTCTCAGAGGAGGATGATCATGTATCAGAGGAGATTTCAAGTCTTTGCTCCCGCCTGCTTGATCACAGGGATTAAAGGCATAAACTTGATGTAATGTTTCAACACCATGTGCATCTTCCTCAGTCACCTGCCCTGTAACTATGAACTGCCACAGGTGGTCAGTCATATTGATACTTACACTCAGAATACTTTTTTTATTTTGTTTCTGATATTCAGAGACTGTCGAGTTTGTATTGTTATTTTTGTTTCTTTATAGCTTTTTCTTATCTCTTAAGATAATATAGATCAAATATTTGTTTCGTTTTTTGGGGGATTTTGTATTTATTTGTAGTATTATGTATATTATTTACATATAAAAATAACAATATTTTACAATAATATTAAATATATAATTAATAATAATAAATGAAATATATAATAATAATATGAATGATACAATCAATAATAAGCATTATAATAATACAAAACAAAATTATAACAAGAAATGTATATTGTAATATTATCAACGTGTGTGTGTGTGTGTGTGTGTGTGTGTGTGTGTAGGGTGAAGGCTGGGTGTATCACAACCCTCTGTGGAAGGCGCAGTGACGCGTAGCAGCTCTCTAATCCCAGGCGACAGATCGGGCGACGGAGGCCGATCGCTGGCCGACACAGACATGAGGAGAGTCAAACAGACAGACGGACAAACGGAGAGCAAGACACACGGACGGAGAAAAGAGAGTGCTACCAAAGACAACCCGAGGAAACCGGCCACATCTCCAGTTCTGAGCGTTCAGGAGTGTGCTGGTTCAGCAGTGAGCCTCTCTTGAGATTACAGTGTTCAGACAAAATGGGATTGTTTTAACTTCTGAACAAACCCCTGTAAACAGCTACTGCCCATCTCACTTTTTAGTTGTTTAGGCAATGTATTAACTGTTTTGCACAATTCACTGTACAATACAATGTGTGTGTGTGTGTTTTCATGTACAGGTGTATGCTTGTAAGAATGGATGGGTAAACTATTTAGCTACAACCCTATTTTATAGAATCCAGAGGGGGCAGGGCTAGTTTAGTTTGAAGCTGCAGAGCACTGATCCTCTCTGTGCTGGAACTTATTTAAACTTAATATGACAAACTACTTTATTCAATATAAATAGTGTTTTATCTGAAGTCATATTCCTTAGGGGAAGGTGTCCTCAAACTGTTGTACATACATTTCTTATATAACTTTCTCTGTCATAACATCTAATAAATCCCTCCAGCCAACCACTATGTTACTGTAGAAAGTGAATCTGCGCCTGCTGAATCCAGATCTCAATGGAACATTTACTATGCTGCATTTGGCTTTAAATGGGTCAGTTCCCCCATATAAACTCTTAAAACAAACATACTCTCTCACATCCCTCCGGTGATATCTCTCCATTAAGGTGGTTTTTATTTTAAGATATCTGCCCTCCATCCAAATACAACAGAATTGCTGCTTAGAGAACAGAAACATTACATTTGACATGACACTCCCATTTACTGTTTATTGGATTTGGGAGAGCTGATGAAAACATGGTTAGAATCACAATAAAATAAGCTAGCTGAGCCTGTTAGTGCTTATTGAAACAACCTTAGCTTTTGCTGTAACTTTAGCTCTTACAGTGCATTCACATGATTGGTGATCAACAGCGTTTTGTTTTTCTTGCTCGCTTGCGCCGCTACATACAGCTAGCATCTGATTGGTTGCACATCGAGAGATCAGGGGTAAACAAGGTCAAAGTTGAATTGATTTGAACTTTGAGTGTCAGCCTAGTCGGGCTGCAACACTCTTTATAGAAACACAACGTCAGCGCAGAGCCATTTTGCTGCGCATCATGTTAATGCAGCTTAAGGTTAGCGTACTTAGCTAACCTGTTGACTCTTCTCCGTGGATAAGTTATTAAAGTAAATCATTTTTGCTCATGTTTAGTTATATATTTCGACTAAAGCTTCATCTCTGTTTTTCAAGTGTGATGAACTTGAGTTGACCCCCTCCCTGCCATTTTCTTGCTCCTTCAATGAGCTGCTCTACCTCTGACAAGGTGGGTCAAACCAAAACTCCATCACCTCAAAGATAAGACATCCATAATGAATAATACATCAGCTTTCTGTAACCTCTTACCTTTCCATCCTCAGTTCCTCAAACACCTGCATCTGACCAATAGGGCACAAGTAATGACTGATATGTGTGGGAATACCTGATGAGTGTCTGCTGTTTGTAACTGATAAGCACCACAGTGCACTTTGTACATATGTCTGTGTGAGGCCATGAGGCTCAGTGCACCAGTGTGGGGTGAAATAGTCTAGCTGTCCACTGGATTATACTAGTATGTTTTTTAACAGAGTAGCAGATCAAAAATGAATATTTAAAGTGTGTGAAGTAGCTGACCTTAAGCATAATAATGAGTATTTTAATCTACGGATCTCCGCTCTGAAACCATTTAAGTTTTCATTCATATTTATTGGCAATGTCTCCAGTGTCATCACAAAGCTTCAACATCCACCTTTTCCTATCTCTTCGTATACAACAAACCTATGCAACACTTCTGCAGACGGTAGTCTCCTATTTGTTTAAAGTAAAGATCTCTCTTACCAAATGTGTTGCCTGCTGTTTTGTTGGGTGCTTCTTCTTTCTCTTGGATTACCACGTGACAGTTTATCAGAGCGGGAAGAGGTTAGAGTAAATGTATACTACAATGTGAACTGCTCCATGCAAGTAAACATCCTTCATTCAAAAATATACTGAAGTGACTATATAAATGTTATCAGCAAAATAGGCTTGAAGTATAAAACAGTCCACTTTAAAAGATATATTAATGCCAAATGTATTTGTAATTGAAAATAAATAAAGAGACATTTAGTCTAGTACAAGTACAAGTACCTCCAGATTGCACATAAATGAAGAACTCAAGTAAAGGTATTTGCTTACTTTCACTACTATACATAGAAGGATAAATCAAAATAAACGATGTAAAGATGTCCATGGATTACTGCACTGACAGTACCGTGGGAAAAATATGGAGAACACAGTACAGGTGAACCCTTCTGCTCCTAACTGCACAATGTTCATTGTTCCAGAGTAAAGAACATGATTCAGAGTGTTGCCTTGTGGGAAAACTGCACCTCATTGCATATGTTTGCTGCCATCTGGTGCTCAAAATATAACACTATTGGCAGGTAAAAGCGAAGTGAGGATCTGACAAAGCAGCCAACTCTAAGAAGTTTAAACGAAGTAAAAAACAAAATGATTTGTGATAAGTGTTAAAATACGATTTCCTTTAACCACCTACTTGGCTGGATAAACTGAATAATATTTTTCAGAAAGTCAATGGAGAACACAACAATATTCAAGTAACCACAACACAAGGAGTTAAAGGGGGATGAATTTGATTGGCCACATGGCCCTAATTGCTCTCTTATTTCCACTTTTTAAATATCTAATTTATTTGATTCACAAACTGAATAAAAAAGACATGTACAAGAGATAATGCAGATATGTGAAATTGGACACCCCGATAAGCTATCCAAAAGTTGAGAATAGAATCCCAGACACTTATCTAAAAATATCCTAACATATCTAGAATTGGAGAGAGTACATGTATTATACAGAAAAACATGTACAAGCTAAAAAATACCAAACCCTTACTGAATACCCTTAAAAAACCCTAAAACTAAGTCTAACTACTGAATGATCTCCAAACATGTATTAATCAGTCTAAACACATGTTAAAAATACACAAGATACAATATATACAGACATATTACAAGGGTGAATAAAGATATAAACAAAATGCATCTCAGAGTAAAGTAACTTGCATTACTGAGTGTTTTTCCAAAGAGGACAAGTGAAAAACTGGTGTGATTTGTGTGTAAGTCAAACTGTATGTACAGTATGTTAACAATGTGTCAATAATACGAGGAAATATATATTGGATGAGGGACAGGTGAATGTTGTGCTACTTTGCGCCAAAATATTGCTTTGGCAGTGAAATTGATCAAATGTGGGTTATGTTGAAGTCATAAGACACAAAACAAGTCAAAGAGTCAGAGGGTCTGACTTCACGGTAGAGTTGCCACGTCAATTCTGAAGAACTCTACCCCAGACCCATGTATTTAGCTAGTTCAGAGAGATTAATCAACATTGTGCATAACAAGGTAGAATCATAACACCTCTATCAGCTGACGGCAACAGGCAGGAACATAGAATCATAACACCTCTATCAGCTGACGGCAACAGGCAGGAACATAGAATCATAACACCTCTATCAGCTGACGGCAACAGGCAGGAACATAGAATCATAACACCTCTATCAGCTGACGGCAACAGGCAGGAACATAGAATCATAACACCTCTATCAGCTGACGGCAACAGGCAGGAACATAGAATCATAACACCTCTATCAGCTGACGGCAACAGGCAGGAACATAGAATCATAACACCTCTATCAGCTGACGGCAACAGGCAGGAACAGGGAGACAAAACACTGAGAGCACAGCAGCCAAGGTTACAGGTGCGTGTTCTCAGTCAGGACAGTTTGAACTGATAAACTGGGTCAAAGCTATGGGCCTTGGAAAATATTTCCCCAACATCTGCTATAACCAACAGCCTGTGACCAAACTGCATGAACAGTTTATTATTAATCTATTATATGAGCAGACTTTGTCACTAGACAAGAAAACACAATCAAACATCAACAGACCATCAATAAATCAATCAATACATATACAATACAGCGTCACATTTAGTCATGTAAATTGGCACGCAACCGGGAAACAACAAGTGGTCAAGCTACAGTAGTAGTGAATGTTACGAGAGCTTTATTTCAATCTCAATCTTTATTTATTTATATAGCACATTTAAAAACAACCTTCAGTTGGTCAAAGTGCGGTACAGGCAATAACTACTGTAGAGGAAACTTCTGTGTAGCTATGCAGTGGGAGTCACCGACTCAGGAAGGAGACACGGTAGGAGCAGTAGCTTTGATGTCAAACACTGATGGTTTATTTGGAGTTACGGCCGGAGGATTCACATCACAAGTCCAAGAGCCAGAGGTTCTGACTTCACGGTAGAGTTGCCACGTCAATTCTGGAGAGCCTCTCTCTTGCCAGCCCATTTAACTGGTTCCACAGAGAGTCATCAACATGTTTTGATAAGATAGCTTTAGATAGTTTGGGCACACTAAGTTACCAGCTTCCGCCACTTATGGCCTTGGATATGTCATGCCCTGGAGTCCTCAGACAACAGAGAAGGAAGTGTCCCAGTGTGCCCACAATACAGACCATCTGTGACCCAGTATTGACCGGTCACAGAATGGGAACAATAACATTATTGGCTGAAGCAGCCTGTGTCCTTAAAGGAGGTAAACAGACATCAGGGTTGGTCCCGTACGTCATATCTAGGAGTCTAGGACAATTATTTCCCTAACAACTAGGATATAAAAACACAATGGGAGTACAATAATAAAACAATAATTAAAAACATGATAAAAAGCACAATAACTAGAAACATATAAAAACACATACAAATGTAAAAATGTAATGTTCAACTAGTATTAAACGCCAGTGCAAAGAGGTGAGTTTTCAGCTGAGATTAAAAAAGTTCAATAGACTCAGCAGTCTGGATATGTACTGGGAGGCTGTAAAAAAAAGCGTAAGCACATTACGCCCGGGGAGGGCGTATTACCCCTCCCCGGGCGTAATGTGCTTACGCTTTTTTTTACAGCCTCCCAGTACAGACGGCGCTCCGGAATGCACTAGTCAACTTGAGAGCAAGGCAGCATCATAGTAAATAACGCAGGCAAATGGTCTGAAATACCAGTGTCACAAATGTCCCTGATACAAACATCTAAACCATGAGAAAACACAAGGTCCAGTGTGTGTCCCTTCTCATGTGTCGGGCCATTAACCGACTGTCTAAGATTAAAAGAGTCAATGAGATTCATAAAATCTTTGACGAGCGGTCGGGAATCACAGCACACATGATTATTAAAATCACCAATGATTAAAAATCGATCAAAGTTCAAGATAACCCCCGCTACAAAGTCTGAGAATTCCTGAATAAAATCCTTATTGAACTTCAGAGGGCGATAGATCAAAGCACAGAGCACTGGAAGTGTTAAGTGTAGTTCGAAAAGTTGCAGTTCAAAGCTGGAGAAGCTGTTCGACGGAGATTGACGGCAGTTAAAGCTGGATTTACAGACCGACGCCAGCCCTCCACCTCTACCGGTGGTCCGCGGGGTGCTGATGAATGAACAGTCAGGAGGAAGAAGTTCAGAAAAAGCTGTTAACTCACCAGCACGAATCCACGTCTCCGTCAGAAACATAAAGTCCAAATCCTGGGATTTAAAAAAGTCATTAAGCAGGAAAGTCTTGTTAGCTAGCGATCTAGCATTGATGAGTGCCAGGCGGAGAGTAAGCTCCTCTCTTCTCGGTTTTTGATCCAGTGGAGGAAGGTGTCTGTGATCCACGCCACCCCTGCGTATCCGCCTGGGGAAATTAGCCTGCTCCGGTAGGCTCACTGAGCTGCCATCCGGAAAGATGCGGAGGAGCCATCTCTGCCTAGTCATCGGGGCAGCGTAGCATCCACTGCTATTGAGGCCAGGGGCCTTTCCACGTAGAGATAGCAGGTAAGCCCTGATCCTTACGGCTTCTCCGCCCCGCTTTCCCCTTCATCTTGGGCACTTCCTCTGGGGGATGGCATATACCTGGCGGCGCAGGTATGCCGGTATGCCGCCGGTATGCTTGAAAGAAGTGGAGGAGGAGGATTCGAGGTTGGCTCTCCTAAACATTGCTCTAATACCCCCTCCTGAATCGCTTTGATTTCTATAAGTGACTGGCAGGCGTAAACTAGTATAGCAGAGACATTTTGACAAAAAACACAAAACAATTAAACTACTAGAACTAATAAAAGGCTGAACAGGCCTGGGAGACGTCTCGCCGTGCACACTGCTGGCGCCATCATCCTTACTTTATTTGGAAGTTGGAGTGCTATATTGTTTTACAGTAGGAAAATAAAAGCAGTAGCGTATCGTCATAGTTGGTGGAAACAATGGTGGAGTTTGTGGGAGAGAAACTCTCTGGAGAGAACACAGGGATTTTAGCCTTTGCAGACCATTGACATGCACATAAACCTATATAACACACTGCAGAGAAGAGAAAATCCAAAGAAGCATAATAGGGACTCTTTAAGTCTTCCACACATTTTTATTGAGCTTTGTATAGTAATCTTTTTTTCTACACTCTTCTACTATGTTATGAGTACTTTCGTATTTCATTGTATTGTCCCTTAAATTCTTGTTAATTGTCTTATTTTTGCTTTAATTGTATCAATACAATTATTATCTTGTATTGCAAATTTGCACAGAAAACCTTATACAAATAAATAAAGTTCAAATTTATGTTACAGAATGCGTGTTTATTTGTCTGTGTGTGTGAGTGTTGCTCAGAGCTGATGGCTCAACACAAGCACACCATAGAGCAGGGGTGCCCAACCTTTTTTTAACCGAGAGCTACTTTTAAAGTTGCCAGTCTGCCGAGATCTACCAGTCCAAATAGAGAGACGTAGCCATTACTGACAGCCTACTACCAGGTGAATACACACTTCTACTTGTATAAAACTGACCTTCGTACGATTAATACTCCATAAAATAATGCAGATCCTTTATCTTACCTCTTTCTAATCTACACACATACAAGTATTTAACTGAAGTTACACAACAGTGTTGTTGATACAGAGTTGGAGTTTATTCACACGTCACTACAGTGGGTAATGTTTTCAAGAAACATTGAACAGTGCTGCCACATATGACACAGGGAAAAAAGAAAAGACTCTGAACTCTTTCTTTGTCATTATATAAAAATAGTGTTGCTACAAAAGTATAAATGAGGCTTACTAATAAGACAACTCAGATCTGAAGCTACACAGGAATCTGCTGCAACAGTGCAATAAAAAAGACAAAATTAATAGAATCAAACCCTTTTTTTGTTGAATTTTAGTAGAGTATAAAAATAAATGCCTTTTAAAATAGGATGCAAGCAACACTAGTTTCTTAACCTGAATTGATATAATCAATTTAAGTTTGCATTCTTATACCATTTTGTACAATAATTATAATGAATACGTTCAGACAAACTAAAACTTACAGCTGATTAATAACAGTATCTAACTTGAGTTTTTATTATATCAAAAACCTATTGAAATGCTACTGTTATTTTTACTGTCCCCAAAAAGCGCGTCGGCAGCCTCCAGGAATGCTTCTTTCACAACTTCGCCATCTTTGAAAGACTTCATGTGTTTCGCAAGAACGTGACTGACACGATAAGATGCTCTGGTAGCTGCCTTTCTCTTGTTGTTGGGCCTGGTGAAAATGGACTACTGTGCATTTAGCTGTCCTTTCAGGCCCCTCCCCTTTTGGAGCGTAGGGCAGAATTAGGAGGGAATTCCGTCTCGTAGCGTTTGTGCACTGTTTTGAAATGTCGCTCCTAAATTACCCTTCTTCGACAAAGCCACGCTCGCATTGCAGATGAGACAGATGGACTTTGAATTGGAATAGATACAAAAATAATCATCCTCCCACTCGGAGTGAAAATTATATATTTTGGGCTTTTTTGCTTCTGCCATAATTACGGTCTTGTGTGTGTGCGGACTGTCACTCCTTTTAGTTTTGACACGGACAAAGTCAGCGAAATAATGCCCACTGCCCACCAGCCACGCCCCCACACATGGGGTCACGCCGGCCAATCACAAAGCTTTGGTGCGTTCAAGTGCATTATTCTGGCACGGGAAGATTATGTTATAGGACATTAACGATAAAACAGAATATTGTTGTTCTATTTTTAGACACATCTCGCGATCGACTGGGAATCTCCCCGCGATCGACCGGTCGATCGCGGTCGACTGGTTGGGCACCCCTGCCATAGAGGTTTCTCAATACTCAAATTTCCCCTCCTCGACTCCTATCCTCGACTCCCCTCCTCGAGACTTGGTGCCCAAGCCCCCAGGAAGTGCGCCGGAGTCTGATGAGAATATTCGTGCTGGTCAAACGGCGGTACTACACTTCCTTTAGGTTGCTGGGCCCGGAAACACTTTTCCCCATTGACTTACATTGGGAAAGAGTGGTCTGTAACTCGTTGGATAATTTTTTTTAAACTAAATAAACAACCCAGTATGAACACTTGTATAGCCCTTATTAAAAACATTCGTTCCTCAAGTTGTAAAAATGTGCTAATAACGTTATTCTGAGAGCTATTTCCCTCTGCATTATGAACGCGCATCTAACCCACGGGACCGCGCAGCCCGGCACGTTCATGTTACGTGTTCAGTACTACATGAGTTTCTCTTTACCCATGGATGCACAATAACAACGGACCATATCGCCTTACAGCCAGCCCACGGAGCTGTAATAATGGATATATTGCACATGTTTGCTGTAATTCATCATTTGTAAAATAGTATACTACATGGGCTGTATGATGTAAATCTTGTACCGTAACTGTTGTATTAAATAAAGTTAATATTACCGACGTAGATTAACGTTCCTGTAGCTTCTTATTGCACTTGCAATTGTTTTAGTTACTTGTGGGCTACTTAACATGAATAATCACAGTTACTATCCTTTTACTCCATCACATTTCAAAAAGAAATAGGCTATTGTTATTTTAACTCCACCACAGTAATCCATCATCGGCTTTACTTTTTAGATAAAGTTTTAACTCACAATTGATCATAACAGGCTTCAACATATACATTTGTATATATTACCAAGTGGTTTCATGTACAACCCACACAAGTATCATGCTAAATGAAGCTCTGTTGCTTGGATATCACTAGATCCTGATGTCAGCGTAATATAAAAGTACATAACGATTGATGTGTAATTTAGCATAATTTACTAGCTAGCCGCTAGCTGCTAACTGCCGCCTCGTTAATATAAATCCAGTACCATGCTGTCATGAACGCGCGCTGCTGTTACGTGTACGCAAATTCACGTGCTTAATGTGAACGAGCCTTTTGGGCGGCGTGGTTAAAGTTGCGCATGCTCTATGAGTGCACATACGGGTACTTCTCAGGCATGCCGGGTAATCTGTGACGTTTCGCTCTCTCAAAAGTTGGGCCATTTTGTCATCATGCGCCATTGAGCAACTCTCATATGAATGAATGAGGCCCCGCCTCCCACGCTGTATACAGTTCTTATTATACATCCATGTTGGTGCCGCCCACAGGAGATGCGAGCGGAGGACTGAGGAGGGGAACCGAGGAGAGAGGAGTGGAAGCAGCAGGCGGTTAGAGAAAGGAGAACTCCTCTCTCTGAGCGGTCATTTTAAAGAGACGTCCATTAATGATGACAGGAGGCACAGCAGCAGTCTGATGGACAGATGTGTTCATGATGACTTATATATTTACTTTTAATTCATTCACAGTGCGGTATAATCAGTGGCAGAGCCAGGATATTTTCAGTGGGGTGGCCAGGATGGAACCAGTGATCATTTTGGGGTGGCATTGAAATCACTATTATATGAACATAAAAATACATCGCACTATAAAATAAGGGGTTATTTAAGGCACCTACAACACACCTCTACATTATTTGGGATTAAGCTAGTGGTGGAATAGATCAAATAATATTCAGTATATCTAACTATTTTTTTCGTATTCCCGCAGGCAAAGTATCAACGAAGCTTACATTATACAAATGTAATGCAATATACAGACGGTTTAGCTTATGGTGATCAGCAGCCCTATGAGCTCATTCTCTCAGTGTATCATCAGGAATACAGAGACACACACACATCATTTAAATAAGAGTTTTTAAATCAAATGATAGGTTAAGAATAAACATCTTAAAGTAAATAACAATAAACAATAGCCCTTAACCCTGTAAGGCCCCCGGTTGTAATTTTACAACATTACTTTAAGCTATCCAAAAAAGTCAGTAAATGTTTTTGTTTTTTTAAAAGACTACATTTACATAGTCAACAGGTCCTTTTGTTCAGCCTCACCATGCTATTGGGTAGTAAATGTGTTATAGGTCCTGCCCTCTGGCCATACATATAAGACCAACATTCCTGACAATAGATTTCAATAGTCATCTTTTACGGTGTAAATGCCTTTTTAATAATAACATTTTTGAATGGAACATTCTCAACACAAATTCATCAATCCAAATAAATATAACTTAAATATGTGGGAAAATACTGTGTTTGAAATGTATAATTGAAATGAGATGTTAGCTTTTTGTTTTGATATATATATACTGTATATATACTGTATAGGGAATGGAAATTGTGCTTGCATTCTGGACAATCGCAGCCAATAATATAATATCCATCATCTTTCAGCGGTTTTGCACCTAACATTATCACTAGAATTAAATTAAAGTAACAAGATCTGAGGACTCACTCCGGCACTGAAAAGCACCAATAATGAAACAGCTTATTGGGACTTTATGAAAGTCTTCCACCTGTCCCATTGGCCTGGATCTTACCGTTGAACAGCTCGTCGCTCAGGTGAGACACGAGCTTGAAGTCTCGCAGCGGGGTGATGATGGCGGTGACGTTGCCCAACATGCTGCCCATCCCCAACAGCAGCAGCATGAAGAAGTACAGCACTGACCACAGCTGGGGTAACGGCATGTTCTTAATGGCCTCACTGTACACAATGAAGGCCAGCCCTGTCCCCTCCACTGCCTGGAACAAAGGAAAGTGGGAGAACGAGTGTTTATTACTAGGATGGAAGAACAGGTGAAGAGGTCTTGAGGGAGAGTAAGCAGTCATCAGTGGAAACACATCAGATTTTTGGCTGCATATCATACCGGTCTGGTAAAAGGTGCTACTGTATTTACCTTATCTTGTTGTCTCAACTGCAAAGTACAGTACTACATGGCTCTTAGTTTATTATTTCAGATTGCTACAAAATATTATCGCTAGTGGATGGATGAAATGCCTTTTCCATAAAATATATTGTTAAGATTTGTTCCTCACCACGGAAGACCTTTTTCTTTTTACTCGCCAATACAAAGACATTGGATCGCTCATAGCACTTCTTACACTTGCAACCACTGTCTGCTTCATATCAAAGTCAGAGTGACAAAATATGTTGACCATAACAATGATATAAGCAGTTAAAAAAAACAGCAAAGCTGGTTGCAATTTACTTGTTGTAAAATGATCAGTTATTCAATAATTGTATTCCAGTCTCCCTTCAGATATGTTAAGTGGCATGCAATTCAACACAATGCAGCTCACCTCCTTCAAAGTGAAATTAAAAACCTCTGCATTTTCTTTATAGATATTAACAGTACTTAATGTCAGCTTAGTAAAAAAAAACAACATAACAATTATTATTTACAATGGACTACGCTTAGCTAACAGACTAATTTCCACCACTCATGGACCACACTCACCTTTTCTCTTGAAATACTGGCTGACATACTGTCGCCCTTTAGTTCCTCTCTCTTTTCTTTCTCTCCTTTCTTTTCTTTTTCAAAGCATGGCTTTGTGAGTCGTTCAGACATGGTGTTGTACCCTTAAAAAGGGAAATAGTGAGTGAGAGAAGTGAAGACATACAATCACGAAGCTCCCGCCTTCACTCGTCTGAATCGAGCCATCTTTATAATGAAGCTTGTACATTTACAATGAATACACTCAAATTTCAGGACCAATAATTATGACTAAATTCTCCTTTATCTTTAGCTCTTTAACAGTGATAAAACAACATATGTATGGACATGTGAATGCAACAGTGCCTAGCTTAGCTGCCAACAACATGACAAACAGCCAGATTCAGCGGCACCACAAGGTATACAGCAGCTAGCTTCAATGACCACAAAGTTAGCCAGAATTAGCAAGAACCTTCAAACAATACAACAAAGCGCAAAATACACAATTTCCTCTGACAACGAACCACGGTGATGTAATACGGATTATATATAACATGGGTTGATAGATTTATAGTGCTTTGTATACTGTAATTACCTTAAAAAAGGGAAATAGTGAGTGAGAGAAGTGAAGACATACAATCACGCAGCTCCCGCCTTCACTCGTCTGAATCGAGCGAGGAAGAGCGCAGTGATCCCTCCCACTGGAACCCCAAGGCATTACCAACAGATTAACGCACAATCAGCCCATACAGTAGGATACATCTATCTCTCAGGATTGACTATTGTCTGTCACAATGGCACACGTAAGTACTAGCATCCCTGCTCACATGCTCTCACTCTCTGCTAGAAAGTGCCGTTTGGAGGCGGAGGCGGGACCAAACCATTACATGTAAATAGAAGGGGGTGTACAGAGGCTTTGGATAATTAACTTTTGGAAGAAAATAAGTTAAATGAATTGTAAGTTTAGTGAGTACATTATCAATATAACGTTATATTTATGTTAATTATTGATGAATGATGAAAGGTTACTTAAACATTTTGTTCTTAATGTTCTAAAATTGTTTGGGCCCCCGTGGTGAGGGTGTTTGGGGTGGCCAGGATTCAGCTGGGGGTGGCCACGGCCACTCCCAGCCACCCCCCAGCTCCGCCACTGGGTATAATGAGACAATAACAGGCTACAGATGCGGACATATACACACACATATATTTATATAAATATATACAATTTCAGAATCAAACAAGTATGAGAGCACTCTCATAATAACGTAACACAATCAGAGACTGACTCTCTGGTGGCTGAAATGGGGAATTGAAATTACCGGCCAAAAGTTGTACAAGTATTAAAAGTAAGCATAGGACACCAAACCAACTGAGACCCGTCTGTCCGCCGCATCTACGCACTGTAATACACGCATCTACGCACTGTAATACACACACCTACACACTGTACCACACACACCTACTGTAGTGGAGAGTTAGACATAACTCAGTGTTGGCACTAGTTTTGTGTCTATCACTATGTTCACCAAGGTGTGTCGGCCAGAACACCACTTCAGGCCAAAGGTCCAGAATAGAGGAAACGAGGAGCTACGATGAGGTTTGACTTCTTTACTTATTTAGGCAGACATACATATATTTGTCTGTGTGTGTGTGTGTGGTCTTTCCTACAAGGGAAATAAACAAAATACAATCAATATAAGATAACTAATGCATACATAAATTATATACATAATAATGCCAAACCCTATAGAAATAATAATCTAGACAAGCTATAATACAACATGTCTCCCTTCTCATCATAAACACATTAACATATAATGTCAAACACTCTTTACCAGGCAACACAGAGATTCAAAGTTAAGTTACCGCTAATGAATAACGTTCCACTTCCGGTTGGCGGGAAGCGGCAGCCGATGCTCTTATTGTGAAACGCTACAGACATGCTACTTCCGGTAGCGGAGCAATAAATGAACTGTTAACACATAATATCTCACCTCTAACGCCACATAAACATGTATCCACATAAACTACATCCTATTACATTAATAATAGATCTGTGCCACTCAACACGGTGTATATACCCCTAACTTTGAGACAGGAGTGCCGACTCACTTGACGAGTGACTTAATGAGCAGCCATAATAAACATGCACGCAGCATGCACCGATCACATGAGCACGGAGACTCTGCATTAAGCCCCATCGGCACAGAAGTTATCACAATAATAATGAAGTGTAGAACAACATAACAGGCACCACTGTGGACAAACACTCACGTTCATTTACGCACACAATACGAAGCTTAAGACGGCATAACTTTCCTGCAACTACTGACGCACATTACCCTCTGATGTGTGACGTCATCCAAAACACCTGGGTTAGCCCCTCCCCACTATGAAGGCACAATTTAACAGGTATCAACTCTGTATAATAAATAAATAATATATATATATTAGGGCTGTCAGTCGATTAAAATATTTAATCGCGATTAATCGCATGATTGTCCATAGTTAATCGCAAATTAATCGCACATTTTTTATCTGTTCTAAATGTACCTTAGAGGAATATTTTTCAAGTTTTTAATACTCTTATCAACATATGAGTGGACAAATATGCTTTATGCAAATGTTTATTATCATTTGAACAATGACAAATATTCTCATGAATATTAAACACAACAACCTCTGAACATTACAAATATTCGCCTCAATTCAACCTGGAACCTCTCTCATTCAATAATACAATACAAAGTGTGTGTGTGTGTGTGTGTGTGTGTGTGTGTGTGTGTGTGTGTGTGTGTGTGTGTGTGTGTGTGTGTGTGTGTGTGTGTGTGTGTGTGTGTGTGTTCGTTGGAGCTATGTGCAACTCAAGGCATATGCTCGAACGGGAGCTGCCTGGACGCTGCAATCATGTTACGCGCACTATCCGTGCTGAGTGTGCTGACTTTTCGTACAATGTCCCACTGTCTGGCTACCTGCATAAAGTCAAGTGCTTGGCGCAGTTGTCGGCGAAATGTCGCTCCTCTGTTTTCATTTGAACAGCTCCTTATATCCGTTAGCGCAGCTAGCTAGCACCAGATGCTAACAACAACAATACACGTAACACACATACACACACCCTCCCGGTCCTCCCGATGGCCAGTCGGTGCCTGCCGGTGAGCGTGGAAGTGTGGTCTGCCGCAAGCAGGCAGCAGGAGCGGGGCTGTGAGCATCAGCTTGTAGATGGTATTTTAAACTCGATGCGCTCTGAAACTACTGGGCGGCCGAGGAGAAAAATACATATGCGTTAATCGCGTTAAAATAATTAGTGGCGTTAATATTTGTTTGCGTTAACGCGTTATTAACGCGTTAACTTGACAGCCCTAATATATATATATCAATAACTATAACTTTGGGGCCTTTTCTACACCTACTGCTCCTAAAGCATAATCAGGCTACAGCCGTTGTGTATTTTATTATGTGAAGCACTGAATGGTCTTGGATATCGACTCTTTATTTGTAGATATCTACTAAACTACAGCATACAAATACAGAAAGTAATGTAGGCCTGTTATACTGAGTGATATATATTTTACACACTGCTCTGCTTTCGGCACGGACCTCACAGCTGTTCTCACTGTAAACATCGCGTTGCGATGAAAGCAGTTACTAATATAATATCCAAGGGATGCATGCAGAGCTGTCATTGGCTGAGATAAGTCCGGCCGTGCGTCACGCCTCCACCGTTCCCGGAAATGTTACGGTTATCTGAGAGGACCCAAACGCAGGACACGGCAGAATGTTACAAAGGTTTTATTTTGAGGAGAAGGAGCGCGGAGAGTAATCCGGTTGCTGGCGGCTGTTGAGGTGGAGGAGCGTGGAGAGTAATCCGGTTGCTAGCGGCTGTTGAGGTGGAGGAGCGTGGAGAGTAATCCGGCTGGAGAGTAATCCTGGAGCACAAGAAGAACAGGTAAGAAGAACATTCAAGTGTAGCGGAAATAGCTAACTAATTCTAAGAAGGCTGAGAAGGCTGAGAGTTTTACCACTGGGGTTTAAACAACGATCTGGCGCTGACAGGTTGTGGAGCCTCCGCTGATATGCCATTAGTAATGGCTGATGGAAATCAGGTGTGTAGCAGAGGAGGGTGCCCAACTGATTGCAGCAGGTGGAGGTTGAGCCGGGAGCCAGGAGTGACAGCCACCACGCCCACACAGACAGGGGAAGGGAAAACACACACAAGGGAGGTGGCTGGAGAATACAACCACCACAGGAAATGCATCCGTGGAGGAGCCGTGGAGGATGCATCAGTGTCTCCTCGGTTAGAGCTCCTCCAGAGAGCCTTCTCGATGCTCGGTCCTCGAAGTGCATTTAGAGAAATGAGATGTCCTTCAACATGGCGCGCTGAAATTCATTTCCGGGTCACTACCGGAGGACCAAGGAGTCGAGGAGTCGAGGAGGGGAAATTTGAGTATTGAGAAACCTCTCATGTATTGTGAGTGTGAATAGCTCTGTATGGCAGTGCAGGGATTAGCATAAGAATGGTGTGTGAGTGCTGGAAGGCCGGTGCTTGAATCTGTCCCTGCAGCTCATGCCCTCTCCCCCCCCGCCCTTCACACTCCGCTGGCTCCGCTCAAACTCTCCACCCTTCCTCACCTTGACCCTCCTTGTTCTCATATCTTCCCCTGGCAGCAGCTGGTGACAACATGCAGAATGACCACACCTTCCTGTACTTTGCATACGGCAGCAACCTGCTGAAGGAGCGGCTGCAGCTAAAGAACCCCTCTGCCACAGTGCACTGTGTGGCCAGGCGCAAGGTACAGTTTGATCACCGGAGCATCCATGGTCCCTCCCCATAAGAGCTGTACACACAACTTGTCTCTGTTTCAGAACTATAAGCTGATGTTTGGGAACTATAAAGGCCTTGCCAGTGACCGGTGGCACGGAGGTGTGGCCACACACCAGGGGATGAGGTGTGGGGTGTGGTGTGGAGGATGAGCCTGTCTGATCTGGAGTCTCTAGACAGGTGAAGTTTTCATTTCGTCAATGGCCTCTCCAGGATTTCTTGAATGTTTTCCTTGGAAACTGACATCTAGGTTGTGTGTGTTTCTATGTGGTCTCAGTCAAGAGAATGTGATGTTAGGTGCCTACAGTCCTGTGGAGCTATCAGTGAAGACAAAACAGCGGGAGATCAACTGTCGTACTTACATAATGAACAGCTGTGTGTATGCCCCCCCATCACCACAGTACCTGCAGGTAAGACTGCTTTCACTGCTTGTCAGCTCAAAGCAATTCACTGTAATGCTGCAGCAATGATTCTTTACAGGCAGTTGCAAGTGTCAAACAAGTTATTCAACATTAAAATGTGTTAGCAACAATTCCCCCCAAAAAAACAACTTAAACTGTTTCTCAAATAGTGGGCTTGTGTTCTCATTTTGGCTGTTATATCTTACAAAGGCTCCGCCCTCTACTGGACTCTATGGGTACTACCTCTCAACCATACTATGCAAGCATTCACCTACTGAGATATCTATAAACGTAGCCGGCCCCTCGGGGCGGGCCTACCTGAATGCGCGCGCAAGCTCACCGTATAAAAGGCGGCCTCGCCTCCTGACTGTCATCCTTTTCTCTTCAGCGAGCAGGATAAAACAACTGAGACGTAAACGAGAAAAGAAAGAGAAAGAGAATTGATTCATGGACTCACCACTCCTTGAGCCCCGGCCTTGTCCTACATGCCCTGGCTTAATCGCAGGTGTCGATCCCCACCGCCTCTGTTTTGAGTATCTGGGGCCTGACAACGCCGCGGCCTGCAATGCCTGTCGTATGCTCCCACGGCTCAGCCGCCGGCATCGTCTGCAGCACTTTCAGGCGTATTATGTCTCGCCGGAGGAGGCGGAGGACCAGGAACTCGAGGTGGTGGAAATGGAGGAACAAGATGTCGCTGGGAAGATGCCATTTGTTTTTTCGCACAGGTCTGCGCGTCAGGACTTCCCTGCGGTGATGACCATGGCGGCAGAGCGTGTAGGCCAGAGGTGCCCAGTACGTCGACCGCGGGGGCAATGCTGGTAGATCGCGAGTCATTCATAAAAATTTTTTTAAAATAGACAAAACAGGTTTTGATCCCTCCTCCCTTGGCCTCCCTGCCACTTAATTCAGGAGTTTACTTGATTGACAGAAAAAGCGACCTATCGCTTTCCAGTCTGTTAACCCAGAATGCAAAGCGATACAAAATCAGTCAAGTGCCGGGAAAACTCAAATTGAGTTAAAGAGACAAACAACAAAATGAGTGCGGGACCGAGCAAAAAGCTAAAGACATACCACTTCCACCCAGAATGGGAGGAAGAATATGTTGTTGTGATGTCGCATTCAAAGGTTATCTGCCTTATTTGTAAAGCAAGCGTCGCTCTGCCAAAGAAAGGTAACGTGGAGAGGCATTATCGGAGTGTTCACAAGGCATAGCAGGGACTTCCCTCCGAGTAGCGAGTTTAGAAAGCGAAAGGTCATGTATTATTGCTACACAAACATTATCTCGCAGTCTTAGTGTCGCCAACTCGTTTCTAACATAGAAAAAGACAAAAAAATGCGTCTATGGTCGGTATATCTTTGATCTTTCCAATCGAGATGAGATCTCTCTCTCCCCCGTCTGTGTGCGAGGGGGCGGGGCAGTTTACACACATGCAGCTGCTACATGCAGCAACACACGGCGGAGAGAAGCGCTCCAAGGTGTGGTTAAATGTTACCCGTCTCGATGTAGACAATGCTCCTTGCCAAGAGTGTTTAGCATGTAAGGGCGGTAACACGAGCAATTTGTCTAAACATTTAGCAAAAGTGCACCACATTCAGACGGAGGAATGCACCGGGTTCGACTGTCTTTCTAGTAGCTCTGTAGCCCCATCCACGAGTAACTTTTCCACGTCAGGTGTTATGTATGCTAGCAGCAACACACGGAGTTAACTACATTATGCAAACATGGGTTAATGATTAGAGTTATTTATTTTTTTAAAGTTTCAACTATTCTGTTTACAGTTCTGTCATCAGATTATTTAATACGATTTGTTAAAACATTGTTGTTTCTTTTGATGTGAAATATTATTTATTTTATTTAAATAAAAAGCAATGTTAATTTTGTTCACAATTTGTTAAGTTAATTTAATAATATATATATTTTTGAATCAAGTTTCCACAACCTCAAGCGAAATCTAAAAGTTGATAAATAAATAAGAGCATTTGAGAAATTGTGCAAGGCATACAGTAATAGTCCGAATAGTCGATTAATCGTTTCATTAATCGATAGATTAATCGATTATCAAATTAGTAGTTTGTTGCAGCCCTATTGTAGTTATACCATGTATAAATAAAACGTGTTATTCAGCAACCCTTGTAATTTGGGATTTTATTTTTGGTTGGTAGACCTCGCTGAGCTGGTCATTTCAAAAGTAGCTCACCAGCCAAAAAAGTGTGGGCACCCCTGGTGTAGGCCTACCGCTCCCCCCGCCACTGCCACCGAAGCTGGTAAGCCACCTCTGTCAGGGGTTTTACGGCCCGGTTCGTCCGGCCTTCGTTTCGCCCCCGTTGCCAGATATCTGGCAGTGTATGGAGGCGACGTGGCGGAAGCCACTCAAGACGAAGGCTCCAGTGGCAGCTATGGCGGGAATCCTTAGGGTGCAGGGCCGCTCGGACACAGTGTGTCCCGGCGTGCCCCCCCTTGCTGAGAGCCTGGCGGCCCATCTGCTTCCACAGGCAGCTGGATGGGCGGAGGGGAGGAAACCTCTGCCCCCGCTGCCTCGGGACCGAGATATCCTGGAATATTTGGACAAAATATTCCGGCTCGGAGCGCAGATGGCGGTGGCGGCCAATAATCTTGGTGTGTTGGGTGTCTCGCTGATCAAGCCTCAGCAGGACACCCCCGCCCCCCCGCCTCAGGACGGGAGCGATTATTTGGACCACTGCATTGGTCAGATGAACAATCTGATCCAAGGTGTAGCCGCCGAAGCTGGACGTGTGATGTCCCTGGCCACAGTGGCGTCACGTCACGTGTGGTTGGGACTCACCGCGCTGTCCAGGAAGGATCGCGATGATCTCCTTGGGGCCCCCGTATCCACGGAGGGGCTCTTTGGATCGATCACCTCGGTCACACAGCGCTTCAGTCGTCTGGAAGAAGAAAGGGTGCAGCTCAGCTGCATGCTGCCGCTGGCTCTTCCTCTGGCTATACTCCTCGGCTCGTCCTGCGGAACCGGCTCAATACCGGCATTCGCAGCCCGCGGGGACGGGCTGCCCAACCCCGGCAGGCTCCACCTCAGCAGAGGGCTTCTGGGTGGGGTGCGCCGTCCTCCCGGAGTAGACTGGCGGTGGGAGGAAGCGTCCCGGCGGAGAGAGTGGCTTTCTCCACCCAGGACGCGAGGGCGAGTCCCGCCTCCTCCCTCTTCAAAAAGATTGTGAAACATTCAAATGTCAATAAAAATGATTGCATGTATCCCAGTCTAAGTGTAATTTCTCTCCGCAATTCCACACTTAATGTTAACCGTACAGATTCCCCACTCGCTGCCCCAGTTGTAACGGCCCGTCCACACTACAGCTTCGACAGCTTCAAAAACGGTTTCCAACGCGTCTGCCCATTCACTTTGAATGGGGTGACGTCACTTTTCGCCGAACAGCATTATGGGAAGCAGTGCGGAGCTTTCCTGGCGTTTCAGGCTGCAAAAGTTGAGCAATGTTCAACTTTTGAAGCTTCTGAAGCTTTCGGTGGAAGCGTCAGCCAATCAAATCATATGCCCGTACAAGCTCTAGCCAATCAAACCGCTGCTTGTGTGTCAGGGGCGGGAGATTCATGTGATTGGTTGTTGGTCGAGCTTCAGACACGCCCAGCTCCAAGCTTTTTTTGAAGCTGTAGTGTGGACGGGCTGTTACTCCAGTAAAGGAAGCAGCTAGTGGGCATGCGCATGTGAGAGTGATAAACCGCAGGAAATGCTATCAAAGCGCTGTGCAGGTACAGGGGCATTATGGCCGGCGTTATTGTTAGGAGACACACCGCCTAGCGTAATAACTCCAATTAATGCATTTTACCGTCTGGGTGAGGGCTGATTTATGGCGGAGTGTGCGCTCCCACGAGAGCGCGCTGCGGTGCGTTCAGGGACCTCAGTAGAAAATCTTCCCTTTCTGTGTCGACCCCCCATGGGCCGAACTTCCTTTCATGGAGAGTTTGGCGGTGAAGTGGGTCACCAGGGAGTACCACAGCTTCCTTGCTGTGGCTCCACAGCTGATTGCTTGTCCCCTAACACACTGTTATGGGGAATGGAAGATCAGCTGTGTATTAACAAAGTGGATGGACAGGACCTTGGGCGTAGGAAGCATCCTGAATGTGGGGGGGACATTTTTAACGGGGGGTGTGGGGGTCCCCCACCACGAAAAAAAAAAATATTTCCTGTATTCTGGTGCATTTTAACAGGTGGTTTGATACTTTTATGTGGCTATACTAGCATGAGGAAAATGATGGGTACATTTTGTAATTTCCTCCAGTAGTAAAGAAAGGAAACATATTTGATTATTAATTCAGAGCCGTCTTTGAATTAATAAAAAGCAGTTTAAATGCCCATTTTTTTGTACATTTATATACAACAATAAATATTTGTGAGTGCATTGAGAGATATTGTTGTGGAGAGTCATTTATATATAAATCGCAAAATACATTTGTGAATCCTTCTGTGAGCATTTATTAATATTGAGACTGATCTGACTCCATACAGATGTTAAGTTCACCTATGAGAGTCCACATCACAATTTACTCTAAACAGTCATTTCCCTTTCATCACTCACCTCAGCAATGGACCTCTCTCCACTGTCCCTGCAGTTCTGCCTCTGACTCACTCTCAAGCGCCTAGATGTCAAGAGAGGTGGTGAAGTGATCATTATTTATTGAGCAGTATACTCTTTCACATTGAATCATAACAATTCATACTGAATGTAAATACAACTGACTCTAAAGTAAATCCCTTTCCACATGGTAAAAGTGGGGGGGGTCTAAACTAATCATTTGAAAAAGTGGGGGGGACTTGTCCCACCCTCATATAATGGCTGCGACGCACAGGACACTGAAACAGGGTTACTCACTCCAGTTTTGCAGCGTCCCTCCTCCATTCAATGGCATAAGAGAGGCAAATCTATCATCCCAGGAGGAGATAGGTTTCCTTTCGGCAGAGATTCAGGCCCTGGTGCAAAAACAGGCGGTGTCTGTTGTGCACTCACAGGAGAGAGAAAAG